GTTGGAAGTTACTGATGGGAAGGGTTGAGGCAAGTCCGGCTGCAAACGTCTCCGGCTGCGAACGTCTTCGGCTGCGAACATCTCCGGCTTCGGACGACTTCGCGACAACTGCGAGCAGGCCTTCGGCGAACTCGGAATCGGCGAACTCGGGGTCGGCGAACTCCGAGCCGGTGAACATCGTGCAAGGGCCATCGGCGAAACAGTAAACTCGGCATATCTTTTTCATTTGTTAACGGTTTGGCTTGATTAGGGTCTCGTTGGAAAGACCTCGCGACGCTCGTTCCAACGAGACCAAGAACTCTTCAAACGGATAAGGCGTCACTGAGTTATGAGCGTCGAAAGCGGCGGATAGGGTAGGACAACATCGAACCGGAAGACATCCAACCGGAAGACATCCAACCGGCGAACATCGTGCGGGCGCCTTCGGCGATAACAGATAACAGGCCTTCGGCGAAGGGTAAAACCGGCATAACTTTCGCAATTCGTAACGGGTTGACTCAGTTAGGGTCTCGTTGGAAAGAGCTCGACCTGCTCGTTCCAACGAGCCCAAGAACTCTTGAAACGGAGCTAGAATGTGTGAGTTATGGGTGTCGGGAGTGACTGTTATGGATAAGCAAAGGTGTGGTCGTGCGTCTTCGGCGGGTGGATGCCTTCGGCGGTGCGCGGAAGAAGATTCCCTCCGGCGGAGATCGGGTGGTCAGGAATGTAGAATGTGCAGGTGTGGCAGCGGCGGCGGCGGCGTGAAGTCAAGTGGGGGAGGCAAGACGACGGTGCATGTAGTCGCGCAAGGGGAGTAGGCAGCCACCCATCATTGCGAGTGTTGCATTTCAGGCGGGCTGTGGGTGTCTCGGCCTTGGACTTCGAAGTGGGGAGTTCGGCCTGGTAACGGAGAGCTTGTATTGTACCAGTGTGCGAGAGCTTGTGGTGTACCAGAGTGTGGAGAGTTCGAAGTAGGAGAAAGCAGACTCTCGTGGGTGGAGAGTCGTATCTGAGAGTGAAGTTGAAGTGGGATCTGAGATTGAAGTGTAAAATCTGTGAGTGGGAGCTGAAATCATAGTGGAAGATCTGAGAATGGGAGCTGAGAGTGAAGTGAAATCTGAGACTAAACTCTGACAGTCGGGATCTGAATGGGAAACTGGAAAGGGAGAGTTGAATCCAAGAGAGGAATCTGGTGGGGTCTGAAGGTGAAAGCTGAGAAATCGATACTAAAATCTGAGTAGGAATTGGGAGTGGGACTGGGATCTAGGAAAACCCACAGCGGCTGTAGTGTTGAGGAAGTCACCCAGAGTTGGGTTAGATCTTTATGTAACAAAGAGCTTGTCTGATGCCCTTGTGAAAATCGCAGAAAGCAAGTGATTATTTTCAGTTCTGGATAATTTGTCTGTGAAAGAGCAAGTGTTCATGATCTCGTTGTCTTGGATACACTGTGAGTACATGGCTTGTGATCAGCGAAGTTAGATTATGGGAGCTCGAACCCCCACCTGGACTACAAACGCTGAAGGGTGGAAGGTTCGGCTCACATAAGTTTTAGTAATCCACTATAAGTGGTAACATGACATTGGTTTAACTAAACTTTCTAGAAGTTTCCGGAATCCGAGATTTAGGTGGCGACATGCTATCAAGAGCTTTAAAACTTCTAGAAGCTTACATTCTAGCCAATCATCTTTCAAACATTTAGTCAAGCCAATCAAATCTAAGCTTATAGTCAAAGGTCTAATCCCTTGGAAATCTAGACTTTTGTAAAAGACAAAATAGAAGTGCTCACCCCAATCTTCTAAAATTACGTTAACTATTCCGCCAAATATAGACATTATAGCTAAACTTAGTCATCTAGATAAACTTAGTTATAACTAATTAATTTAGTTATAACTAGCTAGACTTAGCTATGTTTTGGCTAATCATTCGTAATCACTTGGCTACTTCTACAACTTAATACACATGTGCAACACTCGGTTTTACAGATCAGTGAACTCGAGATCAAGTTGCAACGTCTAGGAATCATTTCGGCTTTTATTCCTAATTCGTGCAATGTTATGCAAGCGTTGCGTTGTCTTTTGTAAGACAACAACATCGTCCAATGGATGTATGAGTGCGGCGCACATCACTGAATAATTTGTGCAAGGACTTGTTTGAAATACATCTGTACAAGACACACTTGAAGAAATCATTATTCATCGGCAGATCCATCAAGATCAATGGTCTGTTGGGCAAGTTGTACAGTCTGTTGTGCGATGACTGATTGGCCAAGGTACAATCCATGGTGCTATTTTCACCGTCACGCTGGAGTAGCTTCAACTAAGCGCCACATCTACTATGTTCACCGCCTATGACATGTCTGTTTAGGTTTGCTAATGAAGACCGCAGCCACACGTTTGAGCGCCTCGAATACCGATGGAATCATATTTACTAACCTGTGCACGCGATGGCTTTTGTTTGCAATCCAATCTATTCCCAATTTTGAAAAACTGTTGCCACCACACCTAGGTAGTCTTTGGTCAAGCTTTGGATGAACAATTTATAAACTCAAGCTCGCAAGGCCATCCAGCTTTTGTATCGTAATGACGAGAACTACTTTGCAAATGTATGGTGGAGTTCATGACATTCAGCACCATTGAGGCGCAATTTCTCCTTTTGGTCAATGACATCACTAAATATCATCCTCCTCTCATTTGAGATTAAGTCTACAACCAGTAACCCTCACGGATCGTCGTGCTCATGATAGTATACAAGGGGAGCGGATCGTCGGCTGATATCAAGCATCAGCACAAGGTGGAAAAACGTGTGCACTGTGCACGTCAAAATTGTCTTGGCAAAGACAAGGTCATGCAACAAGTCTCTGTTGCGTACAATTACTCCGTAGCTGGTCGTCAATTGTTCTTCCAGCGTCATACTTTTGAGCTTGTCATTGCTGAAATTTGTCGTCAAGATGTCGCACCGGTGATCGCCGTACTAGACGAAACGATCATGGTAGAACAACGATTCGATGCGCATTCCGACATCCACGCCGATGATGACCTTGAGCTAGAGCCAATCTGCGAACTTCTCACGGAAGCTGAGTTGAAGGAGCAAGAAAAGCTGCTCCAACTTAGCAAGAAAAGCTGAAGCAAGTACTCCTTGATAGTATGTCCGACATTTGTCAATATGAGTTGTTCAATTAGATTAACAAACAACAGTGATAATTGATAAACATAATCATTGATCACTAAGAATTACTTGAGTATTCATTATGTCAATTATATATATATATATATATATATATTTCTAAATGTTTTTTAGTTTCAACATTATTTTAAAATCATTATAAAAAGTTTTAAAATGCTTCATTTTTAAATCATTTAGAATAAAATATTTCAATATATAAAAGCAAGATATTGTTATTTAAAATATTTTTTGATTGAGGTGGGTAATTTTTCAAAGTAGATTGATTATGTAGATTTTACATTTAGAAATCAAAATAAATAAACATTTGACAATCTATAAACATCAGTTTTTCACTAACTTGATTGATAGAGTAGATTGACTTATAATATATTAGAATTTTTTAGTTTTCATAGTTTTGTGATTTTACGTTGATATAATTAATAAGCATATTATTTATCCATATGCATGTTATATAATTTTTTAATCTGCATCTTCGTAGGAATTTTGCATGATTCTTGTGCAAATGTTTTTCATAAAATTTTTTTGCATGTTGTGCAAGGAGAAACTTTGCTAGTAGACTAAGAAAACATGCAAAAATATGATATAAATAAATAGAAATTAAATCTATATTTGGAAGTAAAATAGAATGAGTAAGTAATATGGTGAAAGGAATTGGTCAAATAGTTATTGAAATTTGTATATGCCCAAGAAATGTTCATTAAGAACTTTTAGCCAACAAAAATCTATATTAAAATAGTGGTGATCGAGTTCTTTACTCCCCTCATTCATAGCGATTGTGTTTTATTCATCTTGGAGCCAATCAACAGTCATACTATAAATGAGAAATGCAATCTAGCTACCAAGTCTTCTAGTGCACTAAACATATCCAGTTGTTTGGAACTGTTTCTGTACTAGATTAACCTCGTGATTCAATATGATTTGGATTTATAGAAAAATAGAGCAATGGTGGGTGGACATAGATTGTGAGGAAAGATTTTTGATAAAGTTGTTGAACACAGGTTTCGTATTGGGTTCAAATACTCAATCCGAGATGTCAAGGGATGTGCTATGATACTCGGTAACACAACCCCACAATGGATCACACCCCTATAGTGGGTCGCCCACACTAAACATCACAGTCCTAACTATAAGGATTCGGAATTGCACTAGTCCCACATATAGGAAGTATGACAGTATTCTAGCATTTCCACTTGCTACCTACTTAATACTCTCTTGCTCATTTCCAACTAATAAATCCAAAGTTTGATTATGATACCAAAGCCTTTCTCTAGCTAATGGTTTTGTCATAATATCAGCAATGATCTCTTCTGTTGGAAGATAAACCAAATTCACCAAGTTATCTGCGACTAGGTCTATGACAAAATGATATCTAATATCAATGTGTTTTGATCTTTCATGATTCTTTTGGTTTTCTACTTCTGCAATAACACTTTGATTGTCGATTAATACTGTTGTTTCAAAACCTAAATCGTTCAATAATTCATATACTCTGCTTCTGTAGAAGAAAGTGCTACTCACTTTTGTTTCTTTGATGTCCAACAACTAATGATTCCACCATTGAGTTAGAAGCAATATCCAGAAGTAGATTGTCTCATGTGAAGGCAACCTCCCCACTCCGCATCGAAATATCCAGTTAAATCGGATGGTTTATCAACCCTTGTAAACACAAGGCTTAGTTTCAAATATCTGAAAATTCTCTTAACTGACTTCAAGTGTATCAATCCAGGATTTGACATGAACTGAGCAACTGAACTAATAGCATAAGATATATCGGGTCTAGTACAGACCCGATATATCTTATATATCCCAACAGCAACTTGATATGGTATATCTTTTATCTCTTCACTCTCTCCCACTAAACTGGGAGAGTCAAGCACACTTAACTTCAAACCGATTCCATTGGTGTATCAATAGGCTTACAGTCAGTCATGTTGAACCTCGCAAGTTTTTCAACCAAATATCGTGGTTGGGAGATCCGAATCCACCGATCTTCATGATTTCTGTCCACTTGCATACCAAGACAATGATGGATCTCTTCTAAGTCCACCATATCGAACTCCGTTTCAAATTTCTCCTTGATATTTGTAAGAAGATGCAAGGAATCACTCGCCAGTATACAGTCGTCCACATATAGTGCGAAATACACAAATGCACTTCTTGAGAGTACATGTAAACATTCTGATCTGCATTAGCTCTGGTAAAAGCAATCTGCAGTAAGAAGGAGTCAATCCTTTGATACCACTGTCGTGAGGATTGCTTCAGTCCATAAATGGACTTGTTCAGTTTGCATACCATGTTTTTCTCAAAAGAGATATTCAACCCTTCAGGAAGGGCCATGCAGACTTCTTCATCTAATAGTCCGTTCAAAATTGCAGTTTTCACGTCCATCTGGTGCAGCTCTAAATTGTTTTGAGCTGCTAGAGCCATTAACACCCTAATGGATGTCATCAACAACTCTATCGAATTTCCTTCCTCAGAACCTATGTCGACCCACATTCTTGCATTGCTCTATTTCTCTAATAGAATTCGATGCGGTTCATCGCTGTTCAAGAACTGAACTTACCGAGTAAGCAAGAGAATCAAGAAGCCAACCTTCTCTTGCAACGCCAAACTATTCCTCTTAACTTAGTTTGTTCTGGGCTGAAGGCTCTGATTCTATAGTTAAATTTCTACTCTCGACGAATCCATAACCCTCGATGGTGATGTGGTCTTCGTACACGTGAACAAAAGCATGAGCTTCTGAGTCGAGAGGTGCTTCCAGAATAGCCTGTACAGTGACAAAATGCTGACCCCCGACTTTTAAATAGCCTCCTGGATGATAATGACCTGGTTCACAAGAAGATCTAGAGACTGTTAATGTGCTGCCAACTTCCCTGTCAAGGCCCAACAGGAAGTCCTCATTGAGCTACTTCTAAGAGTTTATCTACTGAGATGGAGGAAGAGGACTTCGGCCAAGCTGAGTCCGTGAAAGATATAAACAAAAGACATGAAAGTTGATTGAAAACTGCCTCAAACTTAGACTTCAGGGCTGTAAATGAAAATACAGGCTGACGGCTATGATCTTCTTGAACTATGGTTTTGTTTGGTATTCTTAAAAAAGAAGAAGGTGATCTTAGACTTCCTTTTACTGTTTTTTAAACAGCCTTACCGCTTAGAAAGAGCACCACCGAAGGACTCGTCAGCAGAATGGATGACACCTGTGTCAAAAATCCACTTGGTATTTCCGAGGATGATGTAATGTTCTTTTGATGGAAGATCTAAGAAAGAAATCAGCTGACAAGAGTCACCTGGTCATGATTCCACATAAGATGAGACAAGGGAGCTGATCCCGGTAACAATGGATGATGAGCTGCTACAATCACCTTCGTTCCTTCTCTGCAGTAGTTCGATGTACATATGGATGATATTAGAAATCACAGCACTTCCTACACTGGCAGGTCGCTATCAAACATATCTTCAGTACGAGAAGGTTCAAAAAGTTTTAAGCGGTGACACCAAGAACTCACTTATTGAACGATTAAAGTGGCTTAAAATCCTAGATCGACTGGCAGGAGATTGGCAGCGAATTACACTCGCTTCCAAACAGGAAGCAGGGAACTACAAAAGAAAGCGGTTAATGATGAATAAACGAGAATGTCTCTATACAGATGCACTCAGGTTTAAAAACTAAAAGGCTGGACCGAAATGGAAACATCAACTTCCTGAACTCAAGGGCCCTGGCACTAGTCCTCGACTATATATTAGAATAATTTTTGAAGTCAAGACATCAAATCTTTGGATATGGGATACAAGGATAAATTCCCACCTTTCAGCCTCTTGAAGGACTCCAGCGAACCAGGCTAACTGTTCAGCTCCAAGACCACCGTTCCACGAAGCCATCTGAGTGCTTTTATCTTCCACTATCGGATGCTCTTGACAGAACTTCAGACCGTCCTGGACCCAGACGTTTCTTTCATATAGATATTATGAGGATGATATTTCTACAGATATGGAACGAAGTGACTCAGTGTTACCTCACATACCAGAACATCTGAAAACTCGATTATGAAAGACCTCAAGTCTTATAAAATGTATGCACGATCATTAGAATCTTCACAAGATTAAAACTGCCAATTCAACGGTGACTCAAGGCTGAACCCATTAAAGGTAAAAAGTGAAATATCAGTTCTTACAATCTGATGTTTCTAGAATCAGAAAACTTTAAAGCATTGAATCAGATGCCTTAAGCCTTATGCGCTTTTTAACTTCGAACTAGCACGCGAACTCAGTGTCTTGATCTTATACACATTTTGTATAAGATCAAACAAAACACGTGTTGAACGACAGATTACCTTGTACTTTTCGCTCTCGGTAGGCCATCTTATACTCAGATCCATTGAATCCAGTACGATCTGCAGAAAATTTACGATGATATCAAAGGTTTGCCTTCTCTGTCGCACCTATGATGAACCTTGCTCTCCTTCTCTCGGCACGGACTCAACGAGCTGGAAGAATATAATAAACTGGATTACATAGTAGACTGAAGGTCACAAATTATCATCTTACAGTGAAAGGAAAGTGCGAGGGAAGGCTACATTACCAAAGTCCATCCTGGGTGAATTTGTTTCTGGTAGTAGAGAGCAGGCATATCCAATTTTTCCAATAAGGTTTCTCGCGGTAATCTCAAGCAGTGATTTCCTAGAAGATGATACGCTTTCAGTTCCAGCTGCAGCAGTTGTCGATCAAGGAAAAAAGTGCTCAAAAATTGTTCTGCCAGGAAGATCATGGCACCTTGCAACTAACACCAACTTGAACTCAAGAGCGTTGATGTTTGGACCGTAGCAACCATTGAGCTTCTAAGCATATTGTAACATTCCACGTACAGCACACGATTTAGCCACAGTGTGAGATAGAAAGAGGGCTGTGCACTTAACTTCAAGATTTCTTCTATAGATTTGAGTTTAAAGCAGAAGAATATATGAAGGAAGCACAGAAACGATGAAGACATAGACTGGGCAGGAATAAGGAGGAAATAGGCATACTTTAGCAAGACGGACCAACACTTCATCGAAGTCTGACTCTGTCTGTTGAACTGTAATATTTCCATCGATGATGTCACCCAGAGTGAGAACGAATCTGAGAAATCTCATATGCGGTTAGAGTATGTAGCACGAAACAGGAGTGTTTACCGGAAAGGCAAGTGAGCATGGAGAGAACGACACATGAATCAACAGTTCCTTTCTCAACAGATGTGCTCAACTTACTGCAAATTGTGTTTGTTGGTGTTGAAGGCTTTCACTGCCTTCTCGAGCTTTCCGGTGGCTTCTCTATACCTCTGGACACGTCCTTCCTCATCTGAGTACAACTCAAGCACACTCTTAGGGCGCTCCGCTCACTGCTTCTGCTTTCCACATGTGACACTAAGTGAAGGCCTTGGCTAATTTAGTGATTCATAATCCTCATCGGCATAAGACGAAACTTTCTTGAGAGCTAACACAGGAAGTACCTTGAAGCAATCTCTAGGGTGTAAAGAGTAAATACTGTCTGGGTGAATGAGCGCTTCATGAAAGCTCAGGAATATGACGAGAGTATAATGAGATGAGACGACTCCCACTTTTTTAAACCTCCTGGAGAAAATTGCATGAGATTGCGAATCTGGACGTTCGTTTCTTTTGTTCTGCCTGCCAAGGAGAGCACTAGTTCTCGTTGGGCATGAAGAAGCTGTGATTTGACGTTCTCACCTGGTCCTTTATTATCTTTGTCGGCATACTGAACATCCGCTACGAGTCCGAACGAAAAGAGGGGCTTCATGCTCATCACACCACTCAATTCTCCCATTGCGGCTCTCCCGATCGCTTCTGCTGCTGTAACTGCTACTGCTCTCTTCAGTCTCGAGCAACTGTAACTGCAACAACGCGTTGGAGGCCCGGAGGACGACAATGAAGAAACCTTGAGACCAGGCAGGGGGTTCTGTCCAGAATCATGGGCGAGAAAAGAATGGAGCGATGGGCAAACAGCGCTGCTTCTTCCAGGCACCAGTTCTTGTCTCGGCAAGATTACCTTCGATTCCAGTGTATGCAATGTACCGAGCAAAGTGATGATTCTTGCTGCAAGAGGCATGTTCTGCTCACTGCTAGCACCCACCAGATCTCACCTAACAAGAAAAGCGAGCCACAAAATCCCCCGCATCATTCCTATTCCATACCAGTATCTGCAGAATATGCTGCCAAGTTTTCTTTCCGATTGTTCCACCGATCCAGTTCGGCACTTCTGGAATGTTCCATTGCACAGCACCTCCGAGTCATGGTCAGCCACGCCAGAGCACTTGTTTGCCGCTTCGCCTGTCAGCTGATTCGATTTTTGCGTGCTGACTGGGGCACACTAAGCACTATTCGATTACATTTTGGCGCAGTGCATGATAACATCACTGCAAGAAAGAGCTAAGGCAGCCTGATTCTTGCCTGGCATGAGGAAGGGTTCTGTATGTGGTCATCGGTTGTTTCCAGCCCGAAGCGAGTCATGAGAGCGCTGACAAGCTTCAGGCGTGGGACCAAGAAGACCAGCCAAATGTACTTGTTCGTGAGTGAGAATGAAATTTCTTCACCGACTGATCGCGGTGGAAAGCTGACCACCTGCCGACTCTTCCGAGCATTTGGCCGGCCTGAAGGGGTCGGCCAATTGGCAAAGATCAAAATCGAAAGCTCTGCATCGGAATTAAACGAAAACTCAAATTCTCGCTTCGTGCTGTTTACACGACGGGGTTTCGTCCCAAACCGCGAAGGAGAGTAGAGCAGAAATGTCAACTTCGTGTCTACGAGCAGCCACGTTTCGAAAGCTTGGAGGCAATATCAAATTCAGGTTGGGCAAATTGTTCGCAACACTGGATTTTATTTCTCCCTCCTGCTGGGATCGGTAGTTTCTTCACACCATGGTCAGGTGTTCGCTGCCCAACCTTGAGCATGAGAAACGAAGCTCTTCGTTATGATTTTCAATAATGGAGAGACAGAGTCCAGGCGAAGACGTACTCAGGCCTCGAAGATGTATCGTGGCACAGAGCGCAACATGAACGAGGGGACACAGAATCGATAGCAATTCTGTATTGTCGGTGGTTATCGTGGTGATCGACACTGGATTGAGTGCACGGATGCTCCGTGTAGCTTCGTGTACACTTACTTCAGTCGGATGTTGACTAGAAGTTGTCATAATTGAAAACCTTTGACAATTTGCAATTACAAAAGAAATACTTATTAAAACCGTGAAAGCTTGAAACAAGTTAGATGTATTTAGAAAGTAGAATTGTTTCAGAAATGTTTGAACATCATGTGGGGTATATATTAAAATTGTTTGGCGAGAAAGTGAGAAACAGCATGTTGGAAAGTCAGAAGTAAAACGAGAGGTTTCTTAATTGGAAGGCCAACAATTGCCATCAAAATTGAAACGATGAGCTAGGTTGAAAATCGTTTTGTCGGTAGATGATTAATGTTATTTCGTTGTTTTTCGACAGTAATATGCTTCTTCTCACTAGATTGGCTCATTATAAATACCCGATGATAGACTTCCCTCTCCATTTGAATTGTTGAGGACTGACTGGTGGAGAAGCCATCAGAGGACGTATGAAGATTCATACGGTTTTGAAGGTGAGAAAGTAGGGTAAAAGAGAGGTCAGGACCATTTAGCTCTGGAAAGTGGTTTAAGAAATTTCATATCAAATCAATTTCGATGAGGAGATACAAGACCAGTCTGAAGACACACCGTGTGGAGAACATACGTACTTAAGAGCAGCCTTTGGTACATCTTAGTAACGTCTAACCTACTCCGCTGGCTATTTCCAATAAGACCACAGTTTCGACCTCCTCATATCCTTTTCGACACTTCTGAGTCTGAACCCAAGAACGCCACCCACTCTTAATACTAGGTATAAGAAGAAACTACGTTCAATTCGGCAATTGAAGACCAAACAGACCTTGAAAGAGAATCATTTTCAGGTTGCTACTGTCCTTATATCTTCGGGGAAAGCGTCGGTCTATTGATAATCTACCTGATTGATTTACCAATTCAAGTTGACAAAGCAATGAATATTAGACATACATTTTGAATGAGTACACGCTCGTATGATAGACACGTGGTTGGAATACTTGAGGCTAGGACGATAAACGAGACATGGAAATGTATCAAACAGTGTCATAGACGTCCGCTCAAATACCATTGACAACTGGTACAAGTGTTGTCAACCTAAATGGGTATCTTCACAAGTTTGGTCCCAGAACTTTGGAATGTACATATGTGGCATTCAGCTGTGGTTAAAGTTCAGAGCTGCTAGCTTGTGCCACAACAAACTATGAACAATTTAATGATAGTTAAGGACGAGAACTGCCTCCATCCTGATACTATATACTTCACAAATGCTTAAATACGCCTTCTGCCGGTTTACAAGAATTTCGGGTTCTCTTCTACACGTACTACGATACAATGGTGGTACAAAGTCAAGATATGGGAATCTTCCAGTTTACGCTGAAGCAGTTTGCATCACAGCTTTTGAGTCTCCCCTTTTCAGCCACAACATCATAGCAGCATATATTTTTTTGAAGAATGTTGGCAGAGCTTCTTGCAAATTCCATGACCAGACAGGGTCATTCAAAGCTCGCGCAGAGTTCACACATACCAGCAAGGTTCCGCCTTCATGAAGAAGTACCTGGGTTCGCAAAGAGAGCGGCTGTTAGCAACTTAGGTTCCACTTAACCGCTGTAAGTAGTTTACTGTCCAAATTAGACGACCTGATTTATCCGCGAGGCAAGACAGCAAAATCGCTAGAAGCCAATGTCCGAACTTCTACTTAGGAGAAACAGAATCTCCTCATTTTTTACTATTTTAAGCTCATGAACAAAGCAACACAACACAACTTTAGATGCAACTGACATCTTGGTAAGAATTACATAAGAAAACGTCAAGGAGGGTACCGTGAGCCAAAGGGGCAGAAAACCCATAACGGAAGGGAGACCTGCCATGATAATGCACGAGAGGGCAAGTGCCACACTTTGTTCGACCTGTGGAGTTCGCATATAGAAAATCAAAACTTCAGTCTGAAACTTGCCAGCCTAGTTTGTAGATATAAGACCAAGACTAAAGGTAGTTCATGATGCGTTCATCACAAGCGAGACTAAAATCTACAGTGGGACAAAGAAGATGAAGGAGTCCAAGGGAAAATGGCAAAAGGTTCTACCAAACGCGTGGTTTGCCTGGCCTTCGCAATGACAAAAGATACTCCATCAATAGCATCTTGGAGCAGAAGAACATCAGCCACGGCGATTGCTGTCCCACTAGCGCGCTTAGCAAGAACAATTCCCACAGTTGCAGCTGCTAGTGCAGGTGCGTCATTGATACCATCTCCCACCATAATCAGTCCTCCGGAACGTTTACCTAGAGACAGAAACCCGTACGTCGTTCACTTAGAAAAACAAGGGGAATTCCGCATCTTGTTGGATCTACTTAGTTGCAAAACATAGAATGATAAATATTGCAGGTCACGATGCTCCCCTAGAAGAATCCAAAGTCTATGGCCGTCAGTGGAGTGTTGACCTATCCGTTCCTTAGCAAGATACTTACCCTTTTGCCGGGACATTGAGGTCACTTTATGGAGCTTATCTTCAGGCTTTAAACCAGAGTGGACTTCACTAATGCCAACTGCGGCAGCAACTCTTTGAGCACTAGCATCACGATCTCCAGTGAGCATAACGCAGCGCAATCCGGCCTTCTTTTGCAAAGTTCTTATCACATCAGCGGTATGTGGTCTCAACTTGTCTTCGAAGTGAAACAAGGTAACCTGCGACAGATATTCGAGAAAAATCAATATAAGATCAATCGAGAACCCCATATATATTTCGTAACAAGAAAGGGATGGTGCGGTGCATTTCTTCGGTCTCTATGATAAGAGATGAAATGATGATGAGTCAAACGGCGTGACAGTCTATCTGTTAGGTAAGAGAAGCTCTTCACCTTATTGTTAACAGACAGGGCAGCCTGGACTAGCTCATTTCCGTAAGAAGATGCATTTGCAGCTTGTCGTACGTCATCTGATTCAGAAGAAGTCTTGAAAGAAGATGCAATGTAATCCACTGAGCCCAACAATGCTCTACTGGGTCTTGCATCTCTTGCCTGATACACATTTGAGTTCAATAATTTCATCAAGCTGCATAATTTTCAATTTACACCCTATAAAATCCGCTTCATGATTTCTCTTCGGCGTGCAAGATAGCTCTTGAAAATTGTGATACTTGCACAAATCGATGGATAACTATGTCCTCCCTCAAGCAGGTAAGCAATAAGTGAAATAAAAGTCTGGACAAAAATGAGTTCTGCAAACTGACGACTATCACACCTCAGATTGGGCAACATTTGCGAAGAGGCCTTCCCCGGGAACGGTGTGAAAATTGTCCACAAAAATGTTGGGGAGGTCCCTTCCTGCACTGTGCTCCATTACAGCCCTGTTGCATTCGATAGTCTGTGAGGATAGAACAAGTATTGTTCCTCGTATGAATGCAATCTACTGTAAATACAGGACACAGAATCTGATCTCTACTCGTTCTGGACAATGCATATTAAAGTTCACTTACCGTGCGATAGGGTGTGTCGCCCCGCGCTCCATGGCGGCAGCTACGGCCAGTGCTTCATCCTCGCAATTCGGAATACAGCAAGTATCATCACTATACTGACTCTCGTCGAAACAATGACCATGAAGAGGTTCGATTGCTTTGCATACCAGGTCTCCGGTGGTTAAGGTTCCCGTCTTGTCAAAAGCAACTACATCACATTGAGCTAAAGCATCAAGGGCTTCTCCTCCTTTTAATAGAATTCCCTGAAATTTCCAGCAATAACAAAAATTGTAATACCCAAGGGGTAGAAATGTGGTACAGAGAGCTTCCAAATATGTCCTTGCTTAGGTAGACTGTGGACATTACAGAATATAGATTAAGATATGATACCCAAGTAATAGAATGAGGTACAAAGAGCTTCTCGTGTGTCCTCAGAAGAGACTTTTAATACTATTCAAGATCACTTAGCGCATCTTAGCGAAACCTTGCAGATCAACCTCAATAGGTAACATAAAAACTACCTGACTTACCAATGTAATGATCGTGAAATCATTGCTTGTGCATAGGAAATTCAAAATATGATGAATCGTAGGAGACTTTAGGCAACAGACATTTGCTGCCTCATCTGTACAGAAGAATGAATTGAGATTACCTTGCTTGCACACGCACTGATCGCAGCAGCATAAGCTAAAGGTGCAACTGCAAGTGCGCATGGAGAAGCAGCTACCATCAGCCCTAAGGCTCTATAAATTGAACCTCGGACACCTGTAAAAGATAGAGTCGTTAATGTCAAGTTATAGCGAGAGGGAAAGACCTAAAATCACCTACTCAATGACGTTATGATGTTCTAAGAGGAGTTAATACAACACCATAACACTTTTGACAGTTCTTCCGTTTACTAAACTGTCGGGGCTTAGGGTTGCGTTCTCCAACACCCTTTCATCCAAGATCGACGATGTCGCAGGACGTGTTGACGACTAAACAATCAAACAAAAACTTGGGATGAAATTGCAAGGAAAGGAATGAAACTTTAGATTAGTTATAGCTCTAGCTAAACTTCACCTGGCTCACAGACATATGGCGGCATAATCTGGCCAGATGAAGTGCAGAAATGAAAGTAGTAAAGGACCAACCTGGACTGCTAAAAAACGGCCACTTGAAAAGAAGTGGACCCAATAAAGCAACAGCAACTGACATTGCAACGACAGCCTGACTGTATCGCTCCCCGAAGTCATCAAGCCACCTCTGAAGGGAAGGCCTGCTGAGTTGAGCCTCCTCTGTCAATTTCACTATCCTCGCCACCGTGGAGTCCTTCCATGTCTTAGTCGCCTGTTAACACCACCAGCAATCAACATTCCTGAATTTATTGAATCTTACCAACAAACTCGTCCTAAAACGAAACAAGACCAAGAATACCAGCTGAGTCACCTTGATAATCATCACACCGTCGAGACTTCTTGCACCTCCTGGAATAGAATCTCCAACCCTTTTCTCCACGGGTTGTGCTTCACCAGTTAAATGCTCGACAGTAACCTTGGCTCTTCCTTGCCAGACGTCTCCATCCACGGGTACAGTCTGACAGAAGCGAAAGGACAGGTCAGGTGGTGTCAGTGATTCCACGACTGACAGAACGGGTTGAAAGAAGGAAAAGGACGGTGATTGCACGGAAACTTTTCTCCAGTCCTAGAGTATCTTCGATATTTGTCAAACAGGACTGAGGTTGATGACTTCATGACGTCTGACATCCAATATCCAGGGAACAACTTGCATTAACGTACTGAGGTACCCTTAACATTGGCAATATCTCTCGTGTAATGGAGTCCGTCTTTCAGTTTTCGCTCTCCTCGGCATGCAAATGTGATATAGACTCACGCAGTTTCATATAAACACTGTTGTAAATACATCGCGTACAGGACCTCTCTGACATTTCTATGGAAAAAATTCATCTGGTTATCAAGAGTTCTCTCCGCAGATGTTGCTCCATACAGCACTCATCTTTTCTTATAACCTATTGAAGAAAGAAAACGATAAGATCGACATTGACGCACACATGCTTCACTTCCCGGGTGAGTCTACAGCTGGAGATAAATTACGACAGCAGCTCGAGCCATGGACAAAGTCAATAGCAGAATCTCTTTAGAAGAACAATGGATGCAGAAGTGCACCTCGCCAGCTTTCACGAGAAGGTAGGATCCAATCTGCACTAGACTAACTCGGGTCTTCTTGTATGGAATGGAAGACAGCGGTGGCGGCGATTTGAGGTCAAATGGTTCTAAAACAAGTGCGCTTTCGGGATTACTTTCTTTCAGTGCCTTCACATCTCCCAACGCTCGTTCAGTAAAGTAGTCTTCGGCTGCATGACCAATCCACCCACCCTATGAACATCATTGAACACAATAGACAAAGATCGGATAACAATATTGACGGAGCAGATAACGTTAAGCTTTTTGAGGAATGGGACCTGTATGTACGCTGAAATATAGCATAAATGAAAGTCAAAGTCATCGTGAATTCAGTTCCTTCAAAATCCAAGACCCGTACCTAGGTGGGACAAGCTGAACATGGCAAGAAGGAGCCCTCCCTCCAGAGCATTTCCCATGAAACAGGAAGCAAAAGCTGCAACTGCCATTAATACATGAATGTTGACTCTACCACCTGCAATATCGATAGCTGCGTCTAATCCAGCTGGTACCTGATGCCACAGCCAGACAATTGTGACTATCTGGACCTGCACACCTTTCACCTCCATTCTTTCTGGTGTCCATTCGCAAGGAAAAAGTGAGAACAAAAATTTAAAATTCCATTCTCAAGACAGTTCCCAACAATTCAAAAATCCTCATTGCTCAAGAACATCCTCAATTGGTTGGTTGTCCCGCCAACCGTGCCAGTGCCCCAGAGTACTGCAAAATGACGTAAAGACCAGACAGGTTCGTTGGCTTCATACCGCTGTGAGTGGAAGGGCTGGCAGAACAAGAGCAGATTGAACGGTATGCCCGACAGACTTGGGTAATACATACGGAGCTAAAGCACCCAGCAGCAACAAAGCAAGCGACGCACAGCAAGCTTTGAGATTGTCCCGCCACATGTCGGCAATTGAAGCCACCCCTGTCACCCTGAAGAGCTTCTGGATCAATCTCTGAACCGCGTTCAGACTTCCCGGATCGGAATTGCAATGCGAGTGCCCGTGATGGTGCTGGTGACCATGACTGTGGCTGTGAGCGTGATCATGCTCGTGATCGTGCTCATGATCGTGCTCAAGATGCTCGTGATCATGGTGACTTTCAAGAGTGGTGGTCGAAGACTGAGCATTGGTTGATTCGGTTTGCAAATCCACATGATTCCTTTCGTGCCCTTCATGGTGGTAATGTCCATTTTCGTCGGAATGTTCACAATTATGGAGGTGGCTCTGAGAACCCTCGCCAGAGTGCAAGCCTCCACCGGCGGAAAAACAGGAAGACGAAGAAGAAGGAGAAAAAGAAGAGAAGAAGAACAACCCTCGAGCGTTGTGAGAGCCAGAGATTAATCTCTTGTGACCGGGATGCGAAGAATTCGGTTGGGGATCCGGAGGACGCAGACAGAGGCTCACATCTTTCCTAACTCTTCTCGAGCGAAGTTGCGGAAGCTGAGGAACAGTCTGGACCGGCACACGCGGGCTGATAACCCTCTCAAGCAACATCTGAATTCCTCCTTCCTTTCCAATCCTTCCCTTCCCTTCCCTTCCCTTCCCTCTCCCTTTTCCTCGCTCGACGCGCCCCAAGTCCGAGCGCAATTGCACGATGCTCTCACCCACCTCTCGAAGCGCCGAGCCAAGACTACACTTCGTCCCACACCTTTCTCCTCCTCATTCCCTCCACTGCCAAATCGTCGCAAAGCATCTTCGCCCGACCCCAAACCTTCGCCTCGAGCCTATAAAGACGACGCACAGATGCTGAGGCTTTCACCGAGTCTCCCTAACCAAATCCCGCATGACAATATTGCCCAATCCGGATTCCCCATGTCGACATGCTTCCCTGCGAGGCGGACACTCTCTCTGTTCATGCAATTCGGCAACCCTGCTCCGTCCTGTGGCCACGCTGATCCTCCTCCCTCCCTCGCCCTCGCGCTCGCGCTCGAATTGTCAAATTTCGCGAGTCTGCTTCTTCTTCCACAAGCTCATACGTGGTCGTGAACTCACGCCCGTACCCTCCTTCTTCGTCCTAGTACAAATACGGTATCAAGAGCCCCGAACATACGGTACCGTAGACTCCTCGGAGACTGTGCTTCTGTATTACCGTCTTCGTTTTCTTACGGCGCACGCGGTCACTCGTCACTCCGTCGGCCGACGAGGTGAGGGATGTGCCCTTCGGTCCGTCCAGGCGTTTCGGTGTGTTCATTGGTCGCTGACATGTGCTCATGCTCATGCTCATGCACGCTTTGTACATCGGGCATTATGGTGTTGACACATGGTGGGCCGCCGTTCACTCGAGTGGCACCACCCGCGGTTGGCGTCCGGGAACTAGCTCGAGTTGATCGTTGACTCCGGTTCCAGTCCCGGGCTAAGGTCGGCCCTCGATCTTGCATCATCCATTTATTCATCCATCGATGAGCTTCAAGATGGAAACAAGCACCAACTGTATTAAACCCCCAGCAAAAATCATTACCTCGTTTTCTAAGCACCGAATGTTTTTCTGCCCATCCCTACTTTCACGTTTTAGTAGAAGAGATTCAAGATACGCCCACAATAATTGGACGAGACTATTGGAACTCAGGCCCCTTTCCTAAAAGATTTTACGGCTGATGATAGAAAAAAATCCAAAACTCTTCTGACTTTGCTTCAAAACGAAAAGAGAATTAGTGTTGCCTTGAAATGAAATTTCTGACGAATGATGTTCTGGCACCTATATGTAATTTACACCATTGCAGGCCCACGAACGCAAACTGAAGCATACAAATGTGATTCACCACAATGAGAAAACCTAGAATGCATTGAGAACCCTGGAGTATGTGTATGTGAAAACGCTACCATCAGCTATCTAGTATAGTGCTGTGGTATATATATATATATATATATATATATATTGTGTTTAAGCCAGTTAAAATTAACGAAGAACAAAATTTAAACCCAAAATTTTTATTTGTTATTTCCTTAAGTCTAAGAGTATTTCACCGGCTTTCGCCTTCTTCCGCAAAACCTGAACACAAACAATATTTCGGCCAGAATATTAGACTTTGTTGACATAAGACATATGCCGATGTTTCCGGATGTGAATGAAGATTCCTACAAGACATGTTCATTTCATACGTTAGCTGCTGATAATTATTAAACAATATACACTCTTCATCGTACTTACTGGAATCAAACCAAACATTTTGCTTATGCCAAATTGCATCCTTTATCACACACGATTTTGTAAGGTATTTGGGCAATGAATGTTTACGGCGTAAAGCTACCTTTACTCCCATGGGCAACCCCAGTGCATTAGTTACTGCACCCTTATATGTACTTGACATATTACCAAAGATCACAGCCACACACTTAGTCTGTGTCAAATTGACGAAAAGATCCATTGACATTTAAGAAAAGAGAACCCATTTTTATTTCTACGCATCCATTCACGCTCATAAAACTTACTATAATAAGAGATTCCATGACCTGTCATGTAGTAAAAAGTTAAATACCTCCAATATGTGGGATTAGCATACGTGAATAAGTGTATATAAAAAATGGTTTCTAGTACTTTGGGCCACTCTAATTTCAAAAACAAATAACTAATGAACTTGAGGATATTAAAAGTCAATGACAGCAACCACGAAGCAGATCTGAGTAACAATGAAGTGGTTTAATGTCATGGGTGAGGAGAGTTCGATGAATCTGTTGAAGATTGTCATCATAATTTGATTATTTAATAGCAGCCATGTCACATGTGTCGTGACATAGCTGTAATCAATGCTTGACTACCATGAGGTAATACAAAGGATGAAAATGAGAATTACTTGCTTTGCATGCAAAATATGCTTTATTCTCAAGGTAGTACATGACATGATCTCTTTTGGACTAGAGGTTTCTTGTCTATTTTCATTGCTGAACAATATAATAGTTCTCTGATTCAATCTTAGTAAATATGCCATTCATTGTATCAGTAAGATTGTTTATGCACTTTATTCATTGTGGTTGCAATTACTATGAGGTTAAAGTTGTTTTACGGTATTGTTCAAGAAGTATGGTAGATTTCTGAATCTTGCTTTGTTAATGGATTTGCGGTTATGTATTAACATAAAATTTGTATTTACTATTCTTGCTACCTTGAATTTTGCAATACACTTACATCTTCATTATTGTGAATTTGATGTAGCTTTAGATTCATATGCAACATAAAATTACTTCCTCAAAGCAGAGAGTATAACTACCATGATGTGTTTAAGAATGTGATGTGAATTGTCGTAGGTGAGGATTTATATCTCACGAGCATGGTTCATTCCAATTCATTAAAACATGTCCATATCTGGTGTGGAAAGTTGTGTAGAGTTGGGATTAAAAAAGATTAGTATTCATCATCTTGGACGGAGGGTGCATGTAGGTCAAACACTCAAGGGTTAAATAAAGAGGATATAAGGATGAGGAAAGATGTCAAGTTTTTGTTTTTAGGCTTCTATATGAAACTCTACACGCGAAAATGTGAATGATAGAGATTGACTACTAAATAGTTATCGCTCTCATTAAGATATGGTATGAAGATATGGTATTACCTCTCCTGACCAACATCTATACCCTATTTCACATGCAGAAATATAATATTTCATTAGCCAGTAATATTCATAAGATATATAAAAATATAATCTTTTGCATTTCCTTTGACCTAAATATTTCAAATTCTTGGGTACAGTAAAGTATATAATGATGCAATTGACACGTTTTGATTTCATCTATGTAACTTAATAAAGACTCTCATATTTTTTGTTAGTCTGCTCTCTACTATGATCGAATCACACTTGAATAACATTTCAAACCAGAAAATATGTGAAGGTTCAATAAACTTGGAGAACCAATTTTCATTTTTTTAAAATCTTAGTCAAAGTACTGAAATTAGATATTTCTTCACTGCACTGAGCTAAGAATCCCATCATGCTATTACTGCAGCTGCCTCAATTTTGGATATTACATCCCATTACTGTATTCAGCAGGCCTAGTTTCATTATTGGAGCAGATGGAGCGCTGCTGGTAACTTTATCGAAGTCCTTGATAATTGAACGGCTCCACTTGTGTACAGAGGGCTACTACGGTTCGTCTGGAACGTAGCAGTGTGCATGTTCTGCACTTTGGGCGTTTCCTCGAGTTCGATGGGAGGTTGAAAATGTCAACATGTTTTATTCCGATGTCGCTACATGGCTCCATAGTTCCAGTCGGATGGTCATTGGCCAACGTCTTCAGCACTCTGATTGGCGCTTTTCCACATGCACATCTGACTTCGATCACTCCACAATGTGTTACATGTTGCAATGTTGCTTTTCCCCGACAGCCGATGTCACGTTTTCTCCGACTGTTCCGGACCGCAAAACAGCGACGCATGGAATGAACTGAAAACACGAGAGCCGTCACCATCAGAGCAGACAAAATCCGAAGGTAGGTCCACAAGATATCAACAAACTTTGATTTGGGATAATGAAAATGTTAGAAAGGTAGTGAGAGCTCTTATATCCATTCCGTGGATGTTACAGTGTTTCAAAAGTATGTAGATGGAAAATTCTGCTTCTTGTATCACGTCCCCTAGCTCTATCATGGAGGCCATTGTTTCAAGAGTAAACGTCATCTACCTGTAGTTGATGTTCAAGCTGTAGTCGTTGCAACATTTGGCCCGTGACATCAATCTTAAGACATCAAGAAATTGGTTCTTCCACATTTCCGTGAGAGTCTTCCCATAGACCACAGGTCAAAGATGGCAATGGATAGACTTTCTTCGAGTCAATTTAAGGCTCCAGATTCTCAATTCACAGAAAAGAAGTAACCCTAAGAGCTTGAATTTAAGAAGTGGTGTTTATGGTACGATCGGAAAGTGCTGACGCCTGCAGTAAAAGCAGCAGATGATATTCCTTTCATCATTGTCTTATTGCTTCATCATTTCAGTAGTAAACGTACACCCCAGAATGAAACTGGCCGTGCATGATTGGCTTTCAATTTCGTTCCAAAGTAGCTTCTGTTCATGCGGTAAAAGTTCTCAACAAAACCTGACATTCGTTGATTTTCATCTAGCATTTTCTAATTCATGACACAGCCAACAGCATCTGCTCTGTAAATTCAACTATATTATGCCCGTCGTGAAGCACGAGGGACCATATAAATGAACTCACGAGAAGGAAAACAAGCGCCGGTGAAGCAAACTCTGAATAATTTGATGGAAACTGTACATCGCTATCACAACTCAAAGGCGTTGAAACAGATTGAAAAGTGAATAGTAGCCAGCGACACGAAATGGATCAAAAATAATATGGACACCATCTTCTTCACGTGGTGTTGTACGACCTCGATGCCCCTAGGTGACCACCTTCCGATCATGATGCTTTTACTAACCTTCCCTTCACACCCTCATGACTACGTTAGTCAACACGTATAAGCATAAACAGCACTCTTCCATGTTGAGAACCGGTAAACGAAAAAGGAGAAGTCCAATTCGGATGCTCCTTCCCGTAGTCCAATGAACTTATGCTACACTACGAAAAACCATAGGAAGAAAGAGGAGAAAAGCATGATCTCTCAATGGGCAGGGCGATCAGCTCGGACTTCGATCAGTCCCGGTAGCAGCTGCGCCCGCAAAAAATAGGACCACCCTAACAGCCCAGATACAATTTTCGTGCTACTCTGAAGGCTCATATTAACAGCCGATTTTTAGTACAAGAGCTCTTCAAAAACGGGGTCGACAGTCCCTCCCCACTTTCCGTGATACGACTCCAGGAGCTTTTCTGATACAGTCTTCCCTGCAAACCGTCAACATACATATAAGGTACTACTATAATATGCCGTCGGAAGGCAGGTGTTAAAAAACTTTAACTGTTTCTATGGTTAACTTCTCAGTCGGCATTCTCACAATCGTCAGAAAACCAATAATATTGAAGACTGAAAAACCTGCCAATTCATGTGATGCTAAGCTTCACAAAAGATTGTAAAAAGGCCGACACCCAGGATCAAGGCCAATAGAACGAACCTGACTTCACGGTGTCTTCGAGTTCATTTAGGAATCCAACCTCCTTGTAACCCCTTCGCCGAAGACCCTCCTGGTACCACAAACCACAATCTCCGTCGTTAAGCGGTGAATCACGAAACCATATGAAGTATGAAGCAATTGACTCTTGTAGTCCCAGCAGCAAAATAGCAGCGCACCTTAGCTAATTGAAACACGTCCTGCGTGACGTGCTTCAAAAGACCATCACGGAAGGGTGTTTGCAGGCCCATCTTCGGTACCTGAACAAAAGTTTCGTAACTTCAGCTGGCAGTTTTCGCTGGTTATTCAGCTGTAACAGCATAACATTCATAAATCTGCCTGAATCGATGAAGGGATAGACACTGTTCTCAAAACCATTTTCGATATCCTTGTTCATAAGAAATTTCTAAAGTGCCCGCAAACAAGTTGAATTTGTATACTGACTCTTCTTCTTTTGAGTGGCTGCAATCCGAACACATCATCTGCGCGTCTTCAAAATAATTACTGACTTAATGAGAACACGAATGAATTAGGGGAAAAACTGATTCAAATTACCTTCCTCCTAAGCATAGCACGCTCGCCCTCAGTCCAGTCGTGAATGATGTCCAACGCTCCTTGCAGGGATTCATCATCATACAACAACCCTACCTGAGATTCGACCCCAATTTACAGCTGTCAGGTGACTCCAAAGAAACTTGTATGCTCTACATTCAAAGGAAAGAAAACATACTACAATTCCCCACAGAATTAACCATCACAAACCAGAGAAAATGCCACGGGGCTTTACTGCCCACTCAACCCGCAAATTTCAAGAGACCCGAAAAAAGTGAAAAGCACGTGATGGCACTTACTCGCTTCTTAAAGTCACTAAAAGTCCAGATTCAAAATTCCACCGACATGGAGGCCTGAAAGAAAATGAACTCACCCAGAATGCTGGCAGAGCACACAACCTCTTCCAAGGACCACCATCTGCACCTCTCATCTCTAAGTAACGCTTTAACCGCACCTGCGCAAATTAGACAAGAATTTCGCGTAAGAGTGGCTTAAGGGAGTTGAAAACTTCAAGCATGTACATGCACGTCAATTGGGTGTGCACTATCGGATACCTCTGGAAAGATAGTCGTCAAATGATTCTCCCAGTCATTTAAAGTTGGAGTTTCACCGGGCATATTTGGCAGCTTTCCATTCAAGAAGTCCTGCAGGACAAAGCATCCGTCAGGATGAAAAGAAGGTACGTCAGTCCACAATTTCTTACACGAATGTCAGCAAGAATGCACATAGGACTAGAGACATTGAACGCATAGCAACTGCCCAGGACGTTCAGACATCGATCGGAAGAATCCGTCAGGCCACAATTTCTTACACGAATTATCAGCAAGAATGCACATATGACTAGAAAAATTGAAAGCGTAGCAACTGCCCGGAACGTTCAGACATATGCAATCCACCAGAAAATCAAAAACCTTCGCGAGACCAGATTTGAGGATACCTTGAAAGACAAACCAGCGCAATCAATGTATCGACCTTTACGGTAAACAAAATACATAGGGACGTCTAAGGCATAGTCAACGTAATCCTCGAACCTGCAGCACCATCAGGACATATTCTCTGTTCAGAAATATCACTTGCAAATTTTTCTTTGTGCTCAAAAAGTAACAACCACACAGATGAATTTCAGTACCGAGCACATCAACATGCAATTGTTTACTTTTATGCTCGAACAAAACTATTCAGTAAAAATTCACCACAATTGAGTGATTAAGACCACCCAATTCATACGCCACGCCCATTCAAGTAGATTACAGTCACGTGCCGAGCATGTAACGAAGAGTTATCCGAATAAAGCATGCGAAAATAGTACGTGTCCAAGTCAGCAAAAGAATTGCTACTGACCCAAATTTACCGGAGAAGACAAATGGAAGATCCCCAGTTCTGTTCTTATCAACATCGGTCCAGATGTGACTGTAGCAGTATCGAAACAAGATGTTAGTACCGAATGCTCGCATTCAGATAAAACATGTGTATATCGTTATCTGGTAAATATTTAAAAACCTGAATGATAATCGTGAATCATAGACATATGTGCCTAGTGGGACGTCCAAGGCAATTCCCAGGATAAGCTCAAGGACGCACCTTCGGTAGCTGATGTAGCCATTAGGTTTCCCATCAGAAAAGGGTGAGTTGGCAAAAAGAGCAGTTGCAATCTGCACAACAGGCATTTAAGAATTATTGAAGAATTTCGAACACCGACACCAGGAGAATATTCCAACAACCAAATCTACTGCTGCAGAACTGTTCTATCTAGGTGAACAAAATTGCTGAACTTAAAAGCATCAGGTTCGAACTTACCGGTTGCAACGCCAAGCCGACTTGGAACTTTTTCACCATGTCTTCTTCAGAGGAAAAATCCAAGTTCACCTGGTAAGGATCAGGTATGTCAATTGGGTACAGATATAGCACATGATTCGATAGGAGCAAGGTTGGCATGATAAACGAGACTGCACCTACAGCTCAACAATTTACTACCATCAGAAGTTAGAAGCATACCTGAACAGTACACGTGCGAAACATCATGTCAAGACCATGAGATCCTACTTTGGGCATGTAGTTGCGCATGATGTCATATCTGCCCTGCAAACCGTCGGCTTATACCACATATCAGCTACTGTTATTCTCAAACTATGACAAAAACGATTCACATGGCAGTCGCCTTTATGTATTGAATCAGCTAAAGAGAAAGATTCAAGCTGGATTATACCTTCGGCATGACAGGGATTTCTGAAACTGGCCACTTCGGGTTGAAACCAATGCCCAAAAAACCTAAACCCAAATCCTCAGCCACAGCTTTGACCTGTGCCCGGATCAAATTTGAACAAATATGGTCAACAAATGTGCATCGCCTTTATACGTAAAACTTGAGTCAAGTGAGTCTAACGCTCGTGTTTAGAGATCAATTCAATCTCCCTATTCCTCATGTAAATATGACAGGGATGAGCTGTGGAAAGGTTCAGCCACACCAAGTTTAAAGTAACAAGCGATCATTAATGCGTAAGTTTAAGAGGTTTCTAAGATGTTATGAGGATTTGGATATTCAATTTAAATTTCAATAACGACAAACACTGGTCCACCTGGAGAAAAAGGTTCTCATGGTTGTTAAGAGTCGGCTCAAAATTGCATAAAACTACAAAAACCCAAAACTCAGCTAAATATGGAACAGAACGTACATATCATATGTAAGTCACATATGTAACATATGTGATAAGCTATTCGACACTCCACAGTTAGCGGCATGACCAATCGGATGACTGTCACTACTTACATCAGCCATGAATCAGTAACATCCTTGCATCTACAACATGTCTGACTCAGCTCCACTCGTGTGTTAAAGCAATTTACCTGATAGAGGTGAGAGTTCACTTCGGCACAAGTCTGATGTAGAGTTTCGAGCGGGGCCCCACTAAGTTCAAACTGACCGCCAGGCTCCAGAGAAACGCTTTGGCCATTCTGTATCAGCCATGACGAATACATGATAAGCACACAAAAAATCTGCAAATGCTTCGGGACTTGCATTCTACAGTCTTTCCCTCACGACCGCCAGGAGGTCACAAAGCTTCCTCTGTGCGAAGCAGTACCAGAGTTCCACAAGCTGATTCAAAGCTCGTGACAAATAGAATTAATAGAATTAAAATTTAATTCAAACAAGACATATTGGCGACGCAGTGCGTGCATCTTCGGTAATCTCACCATTTTCAAAGCGATGATGTTCCCGTTTTCCAATACTCTCTCCCATTCGAAGCGTTCTGCTAAGCCCTCGAGGAGCGCCGCAATCTTGCTATACTCTGCAGGCCTCAGAGTATCTAACTCGAACCCGAATTTCTCGTGTTCTGTTCCAATTCTGCAAAGGTGAGCACCCGATCAGCACTCCTTCTCTTGGACCCAAGTTCCAATAAAGCACTAAATGAAAATTTCTCGGGCGAAGAGCAGGGCCTCGCAAGACGAGGAAATGACACTATCGCCCTTTAAAAAGGCCGACATTCTCTACGGACGAATAAACGTCCACAGAAGAAGGAAACAAACGCGCTTCAACCGATAGTCTCTCTCCTTACTACTGCAGAATGTAATCTTTCTAAATTGCTGATCCTTCTCGTCTGAGGCAAGTCAATGCATCTTGACGAAGCTTCCTACAGATTCAGCAGCTGAGATGAGGCTGTACACACTTTGTAGAAGAATGATTCTTGTCCACTACAGACGAATTCTGACGATCAACAATGAACAAAAATTGAATCGGTTATGAAAACTAACCTCCACTTCTCACGAGGCTTGCATCCTGAGGCCAGGTACGCGATGAGATCCTGTTTCGTCAAGGGCTCCGTACTGATGGCGACTTCTTCGGCGGGGGGGCTTGCGGCAACCACATGTAGATTTCGGTTCCTTCTCGTGCTCAGAATTCCTCCACTTCCAACACTAAAACTCCTCACTCCCTGCGAGAATGCGTTCAGATTTCCCGATCTTCGAATTCCGGACAAATTTGTCGACCGAGAAACCTTCACGCCAGCTCGAACAGCATTTCCACCGGACAGGGCACCATCCGGGGCAGAATTCGAACAGGAAAACGACGCTAAAACGGGGGCGGAGGAACCCGCTGTCAAAATTGACGTCATTTTGAATTCGACCAAGAAGAGTCCGTCTATCGAGCTCCCGAAACCTCCCGCCTACATTCTCCACGCTCGACGTCCCCGGCTCGCGATCAAGCGCGACTCCGACGCACTCCTCGACCTCGGCCTCGAGATTTAAATGGCCACAGACATGGACGCATGGAATCCTCGTCCTCCGGAGCCAGCCCCTCCCTCGCTGCCTCCCTCCCTCCCCACCTCCCTCCCCGTCTTCTGTCTGTCTCTCTCTCCCTCTGCCCTCGCTTTCCTTTCCTCCTCGTGCCCCAGCGAGTCCCTTCCTCTCCTCCTTCCTGCCTCCCTTCGTCCGCACTTCACGACGCAGGCGGCCTCGCCCCCTCTTGCTGATACCCGCGGCCAGGACCGTCCCGTTCCTTGCGAAACTTCAGGACGTTCCCCGCGGCCCGCAGTCCTACCTTCCCGGCATGGCAGCTCCGATTAACGTCTACGGAGGTGTCTCTCCCGTCACACAGGGTCTCATGATGCCTCGTCCATCATACGCCCGCGCCTCGTGACCCTACCAGTTATCTTTTATCCGTACGTGTTCTGCCAGTCGTCGTATGACCGGCTCGCCTGTCGACTGCCGATACCGGTACTGCGCAGTGTAGCTCCTTCACGACTGTGCGGTCCGAATCGCGTACGTCGTGGTAGGGTCGTGGTGATCGGAACTGTACGGCGTCGTGAAACCTGCCTCGAGGGCTTCTCCACACACATCGCTATAACAGCGCCACTCTGTTCGTTAGATCCGGATTTGGACGGCTCGGATCGACGGTAGATTCCGTCGCTCGAGAAGGGTTTGAGTTGACCGGAGGCAAGTAACATCAGAGGGGTGAACTGGGACAGCTTACCGGGTTTAGGGTTTAGCGCGGGCGAGGGTCGACGTGGAGGAGAGATGCCCTGCCCAGGCGGCCAGAGCCAGCCAGGTGTTCCGTCCACATCAGACTGCAGTGCATGCCATGTCGACAAAAGCGACTCCCCCCGCGAGGCGCTGTCCTTTTCGCCATCGAGCCAGCCTCCCTGTCATCCTTCATGACGGCCGCTGCGGAGCCAGTGTGCACGTGCACGTGTCTCGTCGATGACATGTGTGGCGCAACACGGCGGATGCCTTTCCAGGATTCCACCATTCGTTCAATCGGAAACATTCTTTTATTCACTCTGGTCCACTAAAATTCAACCTCCCAATCTCCTGGACCCGTACGACCGAAAACTATCCATGACCCCATGGATCTTCTCCCGGAATCTTCACCCATCCGCGAAGCAATCAAATTTCAGTCTTCCTGAGCCTGAGCTCACTCACAAATCCCTGGGGTCCCCATCTCGGCCCCCCTTAATTTAACACTCTTCCAGTGTCGAAGCATTTATGGGAGAGGTCTCGTCCGGCAGTCGGCCCACGTCAAGGATGTCGTCGGGTCAAGTGGTTACAGAACTCGGGTCGCATGGCAAGCCAGGGTAGGATCACAAGGAATATAAAGGCTTCATATAATAGTTGCTCAGAATCGCCCCGAGCTGTCCAGGTTCAGTGAACGCATGTCTCGGTCTACGACTGCAGTGAATCAATAGATTTCCTGCTGCTATTGTACATGTCCTATCTGTCAGCGATTCATATGGACCCGAGAAAAGGCTTTCGGTCTCAACGCTTTTGTAGATATACTCACCTCCACCCTTCAGATATATGAACAGTCAAGGGGAACGTGCTCCCAGTTTTCATCACTGAGATCCATATTTTACTATCCGTAGCTCGATCTACGACCTCCAGCTCTCGCGTGAATCGCTGCACCGTCAGGGCCCTTCGTACCCCTGTTAATGGCCGGACGAAACGTTTGGTTTTGGTAATATTGGTTTTGATTTTACGAGCAGCTTGCTGATGGACAACAGTCAGGAGGTACAAGATCGTATCGGATCTGTGCATAGGGTAGAGATCATCCTGTCAATAGTACAACAATATCGAATATCCCATATGCAACTTTAGATGCTTTCCATTGATTTGAATGTATAATGAATAATATGCTTGGATGCAAAATTAGATTATTACTTTTTCCAAAATGAACACAATACTGAAATCCGTATACTGAAATTTATTTATCAAAAGAAATTAGCTAGTAGTAAACTGTAGATCTATCTCAAAGAAGACATCAATTTTTAGTTTAATTTTTTTAAATTTAGTTTCACATTAAAATATTCAATTTATAAAATTTGAATTCAATAGAAAAAGAATTTTTTCACTTGCTATGGGGCATAAATAACAATGCAACAAGTTCAGAGATGCCATCAAAAATTGAGATACAGTAGAAACTCTATAATTTTATCAAGCTGGGACCGGGCCTTTTTGATAAGTTTATAGAGGTGATAAGTTTCTAGAGTTTATTAAAATTGATTCATTTAATTTTGCTTGATTGGTCTCATAACCATCCGGAAGGTTGCAGAAAGGTTACGGCAAGGCTTGCAGGACCTCGAAAAGACATAGAAATTGTTTGATACCCAGGTTCCTTGTGTATTGGCTGTGATATTGTAATGGGTGTGTAGGGCACTGTATTTGGCGTACTGTATACAGTTGGACTATGTAGAAGAAAAGTTCTCAAAATGTAAACAACTTAACCCAGGAAAATCACTAACCCACGTTAGATACTTAAGCAGCCAACAAACAAACGTGAACAAAAGCTTAGGCAGACAACCATTACAAGTTTCTTTAGTCGATCATAGTCGTACAAATGTAGCTCGGAAAGCACATCAACCTGAATATAAGTTTATAAAAAATTCGGGGCAGCCAAAAATTGATAAGTTATAAGATTATAAATTTTTGGCCTGGTCCCATGCCGGGACCGCACAATTTGATAAATTTTTGGAGGTTATAAATTTTTGGAGTATAAATTTATAGAGGTTCTACTGTATTTGCTTGATGGGATTCCATCAAGAACATATTTGATTGATGTGACCCATCAAGTTTCGTTTTAACCGATGGGACCCCACGGACGGTATGCCGTCGATGAGCTTAAGCAAATGTTCTAATATAAATATATTCTTGTACATGTTCTTGTATTTGAGACTAAATTCAACCGCGAAGTCAACAGAGTGAGAATTTTGACGGGGTATCGGAACACAGAGTGGGCTGAAACCCTTGGGCGAGTGCTGGAGATTCAAAGCAGGTGTAGAGCTCAGTGCGACAGATGCCCTGATCTGGTCTGCCATTTCACTTCCACTACCCCAATGTCAATCTCTCCCACCTCCCCACGACCGAACTAAACTATACGAGCCCAATCGAGCCTCCCCCATTCCCCAGTTAGATGCGTCAATCTTTGCACCTGCGGGATTCTCTTTTCGAACTTATGCCACCCCGAGCTTAGAATGACCCAAGCCGCGCTGGACGTAAATTCATCAATGTCAGAGTCGCGTAGTAGAAATAGGTGCAATGAACCTATCTCAGAATGCCTGCGCCCGATTTTCACGCTGATAACAAGAGAAGTCAACAAACCCTTGGGGAACCCAGAACAAATACAATGCAACATCGTCTGTTCATACTAGAACAATCTGACGTGTACCGTCGTTGGGGTTTCATAGAATAAAACGAAACTTGATGGGTCCCATCAAGCAAATATGTTCTTGATGGGATCCCATCAAACAAATATCTCATCAAAAATTGCTCCATGAAACAGTAGACTATCTTCCCGGAACATTGCAATGAGATAGAGAAGTTTTTCCATTGTGTGATGAAAATTACATTATTTAAATTGTGTTGATGATATAGAAAGTATAAGATGGTATCTAAATGACATGAGTATACAATGAAGTATAATATAAGTTGGTTTTCAACTAAGTAGAGCTAGCTATGGAGTAATGGTAATATGATTACTAATGCATATTCATTATTTATCTATGACTATGTCAATTTCAAAATCCAAAGTTGGAGAATTGAAGAGATAAAAAATTTTACATTCTTAACCTTTAAACCTTAGACGGCCTATACTTGGAGCGGTAGCTGCATTGACGGCTTTACAATGAGCATTTTCACCCTTTTGAAACTACATGGTCTGTAGCAGTATATTTCCTCATCAAACAGCTATACATTGTATTAGGTTGTGAAGATGTTTGTATTAAATGCGTTGCAAACAAAGTCTGGACTTAATTGACATAAAACAAAATGATTTGATCAGAATCATAATAAGTTAACCAATACATTTCTGAATTGAATAAGGATGACTTCAGAATCTAAATCATTTATGCTGCTACTCAGTTGTTTGAAAAAATACTGAATATTATGTATATATGCATAAAGTGGAACCGTGTTTCAAGTCTTTTTCTAAATATTAATCAAAGCAAATTGGTAGATGTGGTTGAAAACATGCGCGCATTGACCAACTAAGGAGTCAGTATACTGCATTTGTGTAGATGCTTGACCTATGAGTTATGCTAGCTATTATGAGTTAATACGCATTTCTATTGCACAAGTATGACTGTAAAGCTAATATAAAAGTGTGGACGAATGTCTTATTTACACTTTTTGCTAAAACACACAAGGGAACATTGTGCTCTAATTTTTAATGGAATTTTTGAAAAAGATGAAAAATAGCCAGCAATATTTGTCATTATTGTGTACAAGATTTCCCAAAACAACTTTGTGCTCATTCATAGTTAATTAATTTTTTTCTTAAATGTCTTTAAGCAAAAGAAATCCAAATCCACATGATTATTGTAATTACTTTTCAGAATACGTGAAGGCATATCACGCTACATGCTAATTTGTTCTTCCTCAACTTTTGAAGAGCGACAAATTAATATAACCACTTCAAGAACTTGATCGCGTAACCAACGGCAATGCATGTGTTCATTCACCACTACACTAATAATCTTGACAATATTTCTCAAATATCAATTTCTGTTGCTACAAAAGTTTCAAGAAAAATGCATACATAGACTTTTATATCCCACTTGAGTCAAACACTTATAGTTTATGATGTCCTCTAAGTCAAGAACTTAACTCACATTCGTCCTTACTATGGATGCGAGTTAGCAATAGTGCTCGATGGATGAATGTGAAGAAGCCACAAATCCTCTCTACCCAATCATTCTCCCTACCGATGCAGGAGCTCAATTCTCATTCCAAGCCCTGTCGGTGGTTGGAATTTCAAACCATGTACTGCAGCTTGAGCCTCACGATTTGGTCCGTTATTTTAGAGATGTTATTAATCATCGGTCTAGTTCTCTAGGCACTAGCCAGGGGCTTCTCTCCTTGGCGCCGAGTGGATGATTTGTTTTGTGGTTTTTAGCCTTCTGACCCTTCGGGTCCCACGGGCTTGATCTATTACCATTAACATTTTTCCTGTAATTAAGTGTTTCGTGAATGACTATGAAAAAGCCGAAATTTTCCCTCCGGTTTTAGGGGACTTACCTTCAATTCTCATCGACTTACCTCCAGATGGCAATTCAGTATTTCGGAAATTCCCCTCATCTCGAAATTCCAATCTGACAGCCTCTATTGTCAACAATGCAAGTTTTTGCAGCTGTGCACAGTAATTCTATCTGTTGATGGTAGGCTCGGTGAGTGCAGGCACCCCGCTTTTTTTGACCCCTAGCGAGACCTTGCACAGTATTCAGTACCGGGGGGCTAGGCGCCGTGACTGAAATTGAAAGGTGCGGCACTACAATGTTGCTCGGCTGGAAGCTGCAAATCCCTCGTTGTTTAGACTGAATGCAGACGAAATTTCAAGCTTGAATACCATGCGTTCATGACGCATGTACAAATGAAGTCGATCACAGTCCAGGTCAACGATGTGTAGTTCTATCTAAGGTGAGTAGGAATCGAGAGATTCTAATCATAGAAAATGAGCGTGGAACAATCTGCACCCGCTGGTTTCCAATCATCATCAGTCTGCCCCTGTCGATGATTCGGCAACTTGTAAAACCGCATAATAGAGGTATGCAAAGCTTGTACAAACAACCGTGTTTTCCAAATAATATCTTTGTTCAATGTTTAATACATGTATGACGAGATCATTGTAAGATAACCTGCATTTTTGTTTTGATATTCAGACATGGGAACTAGAAACAGTAATCAACTATTAGTATTTACCCGCATCTCAGTAGCGAACTGGATTGCTTGCTACTACCACCTACATCCTGAGACCATGCCACCAATGGCCTCAATACATCACATGAGGGCCTTTCAGAAAAAGCCATCCCACCATCCGCCGGACATAAAGTCGTTGAAGGTTCGATTCGGTATTATCGAAGTGTATAAGACGTGGAGATGATATAGTTCGCCACTGGCTATTACTTTCTTTCCTACATAAGTTTGTTGGAATTGATGGCGACCAGTATACATTGTCAACGCCTATCCGTAATCGTCAAACCTGAGGCTAATTGTGAGAAAGTAAGTTGACTTCCATATTCCAGTCTCACCAATGACTCCATTTCTGAGCATCAGCTCCCTCGTCAAATCCACTCGATGACATAATCACATTGAAATCTAACTGCTTGTTATACTTTGACTTCCGCCTTTTGTCAAATTCTGGCCAACCCTCAATCTGCCAAAACCACACGACGCTCACACTTAAAAAGACTCCTTTGACTGAAGCACAGTATTGTCTCCCTGAAAAGCTGAAGACACAACTGATGACAGAAGAAAGAGAAGCATTCGAAAAAATTTCCACGTTGATACCTCTCGGAGTTTCTCAATCGTGACTTGGTTCCCATGTAAAGAGAGGGTTGTCAACTCAAGACATCCTGATAAAATCTCTCCCGGAAAGCTTGTCAACGCATTGTTATCAAGAAGCAGGACCTGTTAGGGTTATAAAACTTGTCAGAAAAAACTCTCCAAAGCTTCCAAACAAACAAATAATACATGATGAGTTGAAAGCATGTACAATATTTTCTGATGCTTAATGCATTTCTTTCCGGCCTACCTTGAGGTATTGCAATTTCGACAAAGTAGACGGAATCTCTACAAGAAAATTTGAGGAAAAATCCGCCTGAATGATTCCAATAAAAGTGAATTCAGCACAAGAGACGTACACTTACAAATATTTACAAAACAGTAAAACACAGAATACTTGCAGATCATGATAGAAGCTAAGTATCAAACTGAAAAGATAAGAAAACATCTAGGGGCCTTGACTTCCAAATCTACACGGCTCGCTAAGATCTAAAGAATCTTTCCAGAACAAACCAGAAACGACGAGGCACAGTGCCACGTTCTTTCATATGGATGACAAAACGAATGAGCCGAGTACATTACCTAAACCACAAAGTTTGTGAAGCTACTGCAAACTATGTAATTTCATGTTTCACATTGAACAATAGACAGCTAAACACACATCCCAACTTGAAGTTTACAAATTTTCAAACAAGTCAGGAAAAAAGCCAATTCCTTTCTATTGAACGCCAAGGAAACGGACGATCAAAGTTTATATTCCTCTTCCTCGTGCTGACATCAAAAGTACAAGTTGGATTATCTACTTTAAGTCTTGCGTAAGTACACGAGATGGACATGGGACTAACCTCAGAAAGGTTAGCGCAGTGTCCGAGACTTGCTGGCATGACCTTTATCCTGCACAAAAAACGTGAAAGTATGTCAATGACATGCCACGTAATTTAAAAACATGATGATGATGACTGTAAATCTAGTTGGCAACAATTCTCTCATTTTGTCTCAATTCTCCAAGCATCCAGAACTTCTGTCACTAACTATTGGCTAACGACGTATTGAAAAGTAAAACCTCGGGCTTTTCTCTGATTTATAGTGATTTACAGATCCTATCAATAAGCTAAAAGTTACAAATGCAACAAACTCACGATTTCCATAATGTGCAACCACAGCAGACTTACTGATTGTGACTGACATCAAGTTTTTCAAGCTGGGCACAGTTGCCAATTTCTTCCGGAACATTCCGTATTTGGTTATGAGAAATGGTGAAATGTTTTAGAGACGTCAGTTGACCAATTTCTGATGGCACAAATGTAAGCCTGCAAGTAGAACTTCAGGTTAGCAAGCAGCTCATCACAAGAATTGATTATAAGACCAACTTAGTCGAGACCAATTAAAAGCAATGTGTCTCTGTGTACGTGTGAAAGGTGTGTGAAACTGGTTAGTTAGACGTTGATTGCATAACCAAGAGAAAGACAGCACAGCTTGTACAAACAAAATACAAGCCGCACCGACGAAATCGCACTATTGAAAGAAGGCACAATTCGCGGGAGTATAACTAGCAAACCCACTGAGGACTACATATCACGTAAATTACTTCACCTGTGATCAGTATAACCTACTTGTTATGATCAAGGGCTAAGTTGGTGAGAGCTTTCAATGAGCAAAGATTTTGCCATAGTAAGCTGCTATCTGTAAGCCCGTTGTTGCTAAGCCGCAATCTCTGCGGCATGACGTCAAATAAGGCACGAATAAATATAGGTGCAAGAACTGAACTGATCAACAATTCCAGATGAGGGGCGAGACATAGTAAGAGTAGGCATAATTCCTGATGTTGTTCAACGTAAGCTTTACAAGAGAGATACAAAGAATAACAAGCACTTCGGACTCCAATCTTCTCGTTGTCCTGCTTAGACTAGGCGGCTGTCTAATCACGAGACAGTGCTTAATCGGTTAATCAAGAAACGCCAAAGCAGCGTCGTGAAGGACTGAGATGACGGACAAACAACCTCAGACAAGAAGTTGCAGAATGAATTATCTTAAAACGGGCAGCTGGAGAGAATAACAAACAGAAAGAGTTTCAAATCACACAAGGATGTCCTGAAGAAAGTGATGTGAGGCTTGTTTCTAAACGATCTAAATACGAATTCCTTCGTGGCTATTCAACATTTCTCCTACGCAAGCAACCTTGACACTTAGCGCTGAAAAAGCATGTACCTGTAAATTTGTGAGCGTCACAACTTCAGCTGGAAGAGCGCGGATGCTATTCAGGCTAAGGTCTAATATTCGCACAGCAGGTCCCAGCGCCCACACCTCCTTAGGAACTGTCTACCCTTCAAACAGACAAACCATCATCAGCATGATCTCTTGAATTTAAATGGTGGGAACACAAGCTTGCAACATTCTTAACTGTACAAACCCGTCCATCCAGTTGTTAACCAACAGTCACCATCAATAGCACAGCAAGAAAGAAAAGCGACTTGATTCTAAGTACTGACGAAATCTCCTTTGACTGAGTAATAGGCTGACTTGAAAATGGACCAGCAAATTACTGTCAGCATGCAGGACTGTGAATGAGAATAGTCTTGTCAATTTCAGTCATAATGAATATGAAGAAGTTTTATAACCTCAGGCGAATTAAGTAAGGCAAATGGAACTCCAATACAAAGTCAAATGTATCAATCAACATGTAACGTATCGGAAATCGTAAGCAGATGTATCTCATGAGAGTACTATTTGAAGCATCACAGATCTTGAATCGTCACTTTATGTGGATCACTTTATCGATGCTTCCCAATAAATAACAGTCAAGGTATGCACTCAGCTGTATCTTCCACAAAAAACTTAAGTGTTACATGGTGCTACACCTTAGTTTGTCATTGAAGACTCGAAAAGGAAAGCAGAAACAATCTACTTGATATTCTAAGATAGTAACAAAACTCAGATCACCTCGGCAGGGAAAAACTACTGCTCCAACAAAAAGAAACTCCTCAGAATATAATTAAAACACCATTCAAATACGATATGGAGTCCCACGGTGAAATACCTGAATGTGACTTTCGCGAAGAGACACAATTCCTGTAGCTTGCCAATTTCCAATTCGACCCTTCTCAATATGTTTTCCCATCTTTGGTACATGGAGAGCTTCAAGAACAGTTTTGAATTTACTCTGAAGGACAGCTTTTGCAGATTTGGTAGAAGAAGGTGAGCCCTGTTACACGATATAAAGTTTGCTTTGTCATCACCGACTTATAAGCAAATAATAATGTCATTCCTTTACAAAGAGAGTCTGCAAACAGAAAGCGCTACACTTCATCCAAAGAGTAGAGCTAGGCAAGTCAGATTCCAAGTAGTGTGGTTTAGGTTCCCTTCAAAAGCTTGGTTTGAAAGAATTTAATATTATAAAGCACACATTGGGGAGAGAGAGTTACGGAGATTATAATACTTTACCCCTTGGTGAACACCCTCGGAAGCCATAAGCATCAACTTGGCCCCATTAGTCACCTTGGCTCCAGCCAGAGTCATTTCCGGGTCCAAAACTTTTCCTGTGAAGAATCAGCAAGATATGATTTCAGTTTCCAAATCATACAAATACCAAAAATTCAAACACAATCTGTACTTACTGGTTAATGCCTGTCATAGCCTGGCTAGATAATGCTAGTGAGTGAGTTTCTCATTTTCTTCATCATGAAGAAGAAAATGAGAAAGCTAGGAGGTAAAAAAATTATATTAGAAGTATTATTTCCAATATAACGAAGTTTATGTGGTGTTCTAGGAAACAACAAGAAATTTGAATTCGCTTCGCTTAATTCAATGGCCTAAGGATAGTGCTAATCATCGCAGAAACTTTGTTCTTTTAATCGAATAGACTGTTTGAACTGGCGTAAATTTGACTCGCCCGACTTCAGGAAGCGTTACAAGTGTGTACTCTCTGTTGGCAGGTTTCTTAATTTAAAGAACGCAGTGATATATATCTTTTAGCCCCTTCACACCTAACGTGCACAATATCGACTAGTTCCCCCATGCCCTACTCAGCTCTATTTCGAAGTAAACAGTTTCACTCCAGAAAGAAATAAAATTTCTACGGTATGCCGAGCTGAACCGCATCGTCATCCGTGCTGGGATCAGAGATAAACTAGTAAACGAGTGTCAAAGTTTTCCGTTTCTCAGGAGCGTAGTCTACAAATCTGCACTCCAACCCCTCAATTCACATACAAGCAAGGTCAACTCGTACAGGAGAAGCACTCAGTCGGCACATACGCGGAGTCGAATACAAATTATAAGATAAAAAGCTGTGGAATCGGACAATTTGGACTTCTTTTGAAGCCCTGAAAAGTCTGAGAAGTGATACTCTTCACTCGACTAGCTCAATGACACGAGGATTCGGCAGCCAGGTTAAATTCAGAATCATCCTTTCATGATTACAAAAACAAGTGACGATTTAAAAGTTGGTGCTTGCAACATAAGGTGCACATGACCGAGTGGACCTTTGGAGCAAACATTTGCCCCGAAGCTTTCACTCCTGATAGATAATTACAGCAGACAGTGTGAGCCAAAAGCGCGAAACAAAAGACTGCACCTTTGTGTATGAGCTTCTGGCCCCGAGGAAGGATGTTCGTCAGTTGCTGCAAACGTGCCATCAGGTCCTTCACGGGCGCATCGCTGGGCAGCGACACGGTCAAAGTCTGCGCACCCGATTTCACCAACACCGAAATTTCCTTCTTCTCCCTCGAGGCTCCATCTTCCATTACTCCTCAGCTGATCAATCGAAGCACTTGACCCTACCCTGCCCGATTCCTTCCCCTCCTCTCTTCGTCACTTCTTCGATTCTTCGATTCTTCGATTCTCTTTTCCTGCCGATCGTCAGTACAAGGCACACGTGAACGACGAATGAAAAGTTCTCGGTCGGCCTTCGCTCGCAGCGTCGGGCAACAATTCGAAGCACCAGGCTCGCCACCGAATTGCGCTCGGCCGTGGAGACACGAGAGAAGTGCTCCTCGTCGCAAGGGACCGCGTTTCTACATCTCGCACTTCATCGCTTTCTTCGGAACAGCGCAATGCTCCGTCCGTCGCTCCGTCGGACGCCGGCTTTCCTTCCTGTCTTTGCTGTCTTGACTCTTTCTTCGAGCCCTTGCTTGACTTGCTTGCAGCGCAAGCGCTCGCGGCCTAATTTTAGTTTCTTTCCGCTTCACTGCTCTCAGCCTTCCGCGCTGGTAAACCCAACTATTCGTAAAAGTTAAAATCGTCGGGTTAATTACCTAAATTACCCTGCCCCGTCGCTCCATAGCCGGTAAATCCTCCGTTGGTAACCGCGAAGACTAGATTCGGTTTTAACATGGGATTTTGTTTTTATGGAGTTTCAGTTTCACAGAGCTTTGTTCATGGAATTCGAATGTCCCTGAGTGAGGGATTGGGTGAGAGAGTGTTGGATAGCAGTGAGAGTTATTTACATTTTCTTTTATTTTTTTTATTCATCGGTTCAATAACTGTATCTAAGATAGAGTAATCATTCCAAATGATACTTTGCTTTGATTATGAGTGATAACGATATTTTTGGAATAATATTATGTTACCATTATCATTGATGTTCATGCAATGTTTCTCATGTATGATTCAGATATCTTGTGATGCTATGAGAGCCTAGCTCAAACACAATCAATCCATGCTTTTGATTGAACCATACTTCATTTTCTTAAACACAATTCAATTCTTTTTCGTGAATATAGCCAAAACGATTCAAATGTCATTTCTAAACATCCAAACATGTGTTCATGGTTTCTAAACATGTGTTTTTAGATACCTTTCAAACAAGTTGAAAGAGACTTAATAATGATCATTCTACAGCAACAATGTTTCCCTGTCTGTACATGTGTATGGTTTAAGGTTTAGGGTCCAATTCTTTGAAAAAATTTAGTATGTTCACTTCGTTGATTTACAAACCAGACTTATTTGTCTAGCAGAACAACATATTTTCATGATTGCATGCTCATTTGATTTTTCTTTCTCTAGATGACAACCTAATTCATCAAATTTGTCCAACCAATATCTCAATCAGTTTTCCCATGCTAATAGCTTTATCAAACATGTTTGAATATTTCTCAATCTTGCTAACAATTTGTATATTTTAATTTTTCATCGTCGTAGACGCTTAGCCGTCTACCCAGTTTTTCTTTTTTTTCCATTTTTTTCAATAAAAATTCTTATTTCATATTGTATTATCGTACTTTAATACTTCATATACGATGCATCATTTTCTATTTTTTTCAATAAAAATTGTTATTTTATACTTTATTATCGTAATTTAATATCTCATATATGATGCATTTTTGCTTTCGTTGAACGCCCATAGGGCATAAGGGCAGGCTGGCGCTCGGACCACGAAAGAAAATTTTTTTATTTCGGCTTTTTGCTACCACTTCCGAAAAGAGCTTGCGTCCTTTCTTAGCGCCTCGCCTCTCCTCGCGTAGTAGTGATTTGACTTATGTAGAAATTAGACTTTTTCAACTTTTTTGGATCATTTTATCTATACATATCAGGAATTGCTTGTTACATAGATCATTATAATCTTAGATACACCAATATTATGTAAATGTTATATCCATACACTTCTAATTATATCACATTTAGAGTTTTTATTCTCAAAAATAACTTCAATGTTTTTATAATCTCCAGAAACTACCTCGATGACTGAATATGCTTTTGGGACTTAGACCATTCGCAGCTCATTTGCAGTAACATCCAGGCATGAAGAAATTGCACTCTTTCCTACTTTCGTTTCGGAACAAATGGCCATTAAGAGCTTATGAATTCCGTGAAGGCGGCAAGAAACGTGATACAGGTGAAGTCAATGATTATGTAGCTTACCACAAGGCTAGTAGAATTGTGGGAAAAATAATTCAATCATGAGTAATACTCATATCCTGGATTGCGGTAAGCTCAAACGTGACATTTTATAATGCATCACGAATGGTATGTTCTCTCCATTTGATTTGGAACTCGGTGAATCTGCTGTCCTTTTTCTCTGCACCGCTCCCGACGACGTATTTTAGCCGTGAGTTCTTCTCTGGACTTTTTTGATATTTGGTGAAACGTGGCAATCTGTAGTTTCGACTCATCCTTTTCTCTAGTGATATAATCTCTGATAATCTCTGATGATAGAATCTCATCGATATAGCCCACTAGACACAAACCAGATACTATACCATAGTTCTTTACTGTCTTCCTTTGTCAAAGTATGAATTCTACCGTTACAAGGATCTGCCCTCTATCCTCCTCCTTTGGGAGCGTCATCGATACCAGCTACAGAATAAACTGAAGCGAACATCACGTCAGTAGGTTCTGCGTGTTCTCCACAGCAGTAATTCAGAAATTACGATCAAAAGGCGCATTGTACAAGCAGCCCGAGAGCCAACATCACATCCCTCAGGGTGACCACATAATCAACGTTTGTGACAGTACCCACTTAGTATCTCTTAGGACACAGTTTAACGTATTATCCCATATAATTTCCCCCTTCATCCCTGCACGACTTGACGGGGCATCCCAACCTTTCTGGAACATACCTTCAGTGACACTTTAGCTTCCCCAACGTCTAAATGCACTGTACTGTAGATCGACCTTTAAAAAAAATTCACTCTTACAAGAATTTTCACTAATCCATCCTACCCTTAGCCCTATATGTATAATGTGCCATAAAGGTATTTTCTGGTGCTCTCGTACAGCAGTTCACCGATGGATGTCCATATGCTAACACTAGCGAGAAAATATCCCGCGTAACTCTCAACTCGACCACAGATACCACCGCGGGATGTTCCTTAACATCAGCCCTGCAGTTGTAAGGTGGATATCAGACTACACATAAATAAATTCGGACCTCCAGACTTTGTTACGACAAGCAAACTAGCAGACACATATCTCCAGCAGGATTCAACCAGCAAGAACCTAAACACAACTCATATTAACGAACTCATTTTACTTACTTCCACATGGGAAAAACCTCAACTTAATTACAAATGAGACCAGATGTGGCTTTACACATTCTAGTGCCGAGTGACTGCTGACTAGGAAAAATTGCTGATTCGAAATTTTCCAGATGCGTTAACAAAGGTTTGAATGTACACTACAAGCTGAAACCGCTGGTGCTTTAGTTTGAGAACAGTTCCAATAAACTTGAGAGAGACACGCAGATATGGAAAAAATACTCCCAGCAGATTTAAGGCTTATCCCAAAGAAATTACACCACTTTATAACAGAAACCGTCCTCATCAATCCTCAGCATCCACATCACTTCAGTGTGATCTGCTGATGTAGAGAAGCTGAAACTTCGCCTCTACCAAAAATGAGTCAAGCTCTGCATCTGTTGTACGCGGTAGCACACGCTGACAGCCAGCTAAGCCAGGTAGTTGTATATTTGAGGGTTGCTCTTATCCCTTTCAAGATACTCCCGATCAATAAGGCTCTCAATTCGTTTCTTTAGATCTGCTGGTTTTATAGGGAACTTCAACTGCGCAGCATTTAAACAACAAACCGGTTAGTGTACAGTCGGCCACCTCGAAATCAAAAAAAACTTGTGTCAAAGGAGAAAAGCTTGAAGAAAGTGTAAGCAAGCGCAGTCCTATTGTCCGAATGAAAAGGGTGTAAAAATCGTTCATTTCCAGTTACTTCTTTTACGACACTCCTCTGTTCTAAACATGGAGTCTTAATTTGGCAAGTCTCTGAAAGACTTACCTGCTGGAAAAGCTCCGTAATTAGAAGTGTGTGACTCAGCATCTTCCGAGTTTTCATTATTCGTACAATGGCAGCGTCAATCTGCTCAGATAGAGCGATCCACATAAGAAACAGACGATCTTTACATCCACTAAGAGAACCTAACGAAATTTTTTCTCTTCCATCGTGTAGGCGACGCCTAAATGTCAGTTGCCCTTCGAACTCGACCATCAGTAGCACGACAGAGCTTTTTCAAAGGTTATCACGAACAGTTAGCAGAAAAACAGAGGCCTCATAGTTTAAAGACACTCAAAAGACGTTTTCGCAGGAGCTAAATGGTTTGGCAAGATCAAAAATTTAGTGCTGGTTTTACCAGCATTAATAACCCGGACATCTGGATTCAGGTCAACAATTCAAGTTCTAGAAAACCGTGCATAGAAAGCAACCGCATTGACTGATGTTGATGATGTGAGCTCTGTGTGAAGACAACCGACCGACGATGACAAACAGTTTCGATGACTGATACTCAATTAAGGCTTTTCAGGGTTTACTACAAGACAACAAAATACATGATATAGACCCTTCCACCAAGAAAAACGACAACACAGACCTGGTATTGCCGATCTTGGAACACTCTCTCCGTTGTACTTGTATTTTCTTCAACAGTTTCTTTCAATTGAATCGCATTTACCTGGATCACAAATCCCCATGAGTACTTGGTTTGCAATACTTTCATTGTATCTTGCAGCATAAGCAAACGTATACGACATCCACAGTAACGTTCATCACAAGGAAGTTTAAAAATACAATAGTACCTTGATACGAAACAATGGAGCTACAAACTCTTCATTGAAAACGAAGGTATCCTCGTCTTCTACTTCTCTCCCCTTAGGTTGCTGGTATGCCAAACAACAGTAAATAAGCCGGTGATATTTTCACCCAGTTTTTATTTCAATGAAGAGTTGAGAGCTTGCGAAATTCCTTGAAGCAAGGTAAATGTAATGGATCAGACCCACCAGATCATGACGTACGTGTTGCAAACAGATAAAGTTGCAAAAGACAGTATTACAGAGTGATTCTCTCATTCTTTCAAACGTACACGAAAGTTACCGTTGAACACTAAAGTACTCATCGTGGTCCTTACGTCAATGACATATAAGTGAAACATAGATGGCTCTTTGAAATGCGAAGAAATTTCAACCGTAGGATGAGTACCTTCAAAAGCACCCTGACTTTCCCACACGCCAACGACTGAAGTGTTCTTCGTAGTTCTTTGTCCTCGATGGCTGTGGTATCCTTTATTTCTTGAAAACTTAGCGTATGAGCATCATTAAAGAGCATCAAGACCACCGTCTGCAACAAGCGACCGAATGTAAACAACCTCATTCAAGATTATCGAGAAGTATACCCGGAGCTTAAGAAGACCATGCACCGTGTGAAGAACCAAGCAAAGCCATCGACTCCCTGATTTTTAATGAGAAAGGTTCCATAATATAATGCATTTCCTTATTATGTGTACAACGAAACAACGCCCCACAGCAACAAAACAAAACCCAGAGAACAAAATCTAAGGTACGTTTGACAACGATTGACAAGTTCAGGAAGATTTCTGAGCGAAGGGACGAAGTTCAACTTTGCTTTTAGCAAGGAAAAGGGTAGAACAAACACGAAGACTTATTCAAACAATCCTCAGGGCTGAAAACTCAAGCCAGATAACCACACCAGCGTTCATAAGATTGTATGATGTACACTACTCGTCCTTATACAGTCTACATTGACCTCAAAAGTGTGACAAATGGACCGAAAAATCATGGAATTCACTACCACTCGGTGAAAAGAACCAGATGTGTTACAAAATATATATCTCGTTCTCCTTTCAACATGCACACCTGACGGGGGATGAAATGGAAAGAATCTGATTGGATCACAGAGGACGTGATCGTATCGGTTTCTAGAAGATTTCGTCTGGGATGTCCAGTGTGAGAAATGCCGAACCTGGAATAACGAAACAGATAACTCCTTCTTCCCTTTGGGAAAATTCGCTTTCAACACACAGTGTCCCAGTGAATTTTGCCACATTAAGCGACGCCCACTATGCTTACTCAGATAAAACTCTTTGAAAATGTCCTGCGAAGACAATAAGAAATAAAACTAATGTTAGCCTTTTTTAGTAACAGACGGAGACCACGTGTTACTCGCAAGCAGCGTTCAACTTGAGAAGTAGAACACACTAGTATCATCGTTAGCCATCTGATATCAGTTGCCACAGATGGAGAAGGCTTTTGAACCAGTGATTTTGGAATGCCTGTCAGCATCATGAAAATTCTACATACCCAATTATCTGCACAAAAACACAGCAACTACCTAGGCAAGAACAATGACAAAGGAGTTCACTTACCTGGTAAACGTTCAACTCATGAGGAAGCCTGACCTCCATAGGTGGATAGGTTGGCCAGTAGCTGCAGGGACATAATAGTTGTCAGATTCTTGAAAACAGAAATTTTGGCCAAAATGGTAAGTTGCAAGAGAAGAACAAACTTCGACGGTAAGAACTCTGAGCTTCGATTTCAATGGATAAAACAGTAGATGATCAACCGCAGGAGCTTAGCTTCTAAGTACAAGAAGTGCAAATGGTACACTTACCCAGTTGTAAGTACATGGACATTCATCTCAATTCCAGACGGAAGTTTTGTTCGAGCTTGGGCAGACTGCCTGAATGAATCGTTAATCTCCCTTGACAGTTCAATATCCTGATATGGGAAGGACGTTAACGCAGAGAAACGCAATAAAATTCAGAAACATGTCTATAGAAATATAGAATCAGAAATAGCACGCAAACACTAAGTTCACTGTATACTGCTACTTTGAACAGTAGAATAGTATGACCAGTGTGTGATGATTCTAAGCATTGAAAGGGACGGAGCATATACCTTGAACATGCCTTCCAGCTTATTCGTAAACTGGCTCCCGCACTCTGTCTTGAGCTGAATAATAGTTGTCGGGGCCACACAAATTCGTCAGCCGGACATACACACCAAAAAAAAAAAAAGCAACGGAAACATACTAATGAACAGGAAAGATGTTACGTTGTGCTACTCTCCTGGCTGAGAGTAGCATGTTACAACAGAACTCGGGAAATGTACTGAAAAGAGTAGACTCATACTAAAGGAGTTGATGTACACCTTGGAGATCATTGACTTCTCGGCGTCAATGGACGCACTTTTACCAAGCAGGAGCCTCTTCGCCAAGTCCTTCTTGTAAAAGGCTTCAAAGACGTCTTTTCCCTGTATCGAAGAGATGGTACAATCGTGAGGATACAAAGAGAACGGCACTTCAAAGGATGTATATTCGTTACTTTGAACCATAAATGCAAAAGATTTCGTTTACATTTCTCGTCTGCGCAGAAAAATTACTCGATTCATAAGACGACTAATAGCTTATAAATCATGAGAGCGCAAAAGGGCACAATAAAAGAGTCAGAAGTTGGAAAATCTTCCAGTAAAATACAAGATAATTCTCACAAGCATTTACAACTTTCATCAACGTGCACCTGAATGAACCTGAACAGAACAAGAACTTTGTCCAAAGTTCCTTCTAGCTCCTCTTCGGAAGTTCCCTTATTCCCGGCTCTGAGTTTGCCATCGATAAACTTTGCTATAAGCTCAGCAGGACGATTCTGCTCCAAAAAAAGATGACCATAAAAAAGTCAATATTCACGCTACCCGAACAATGAAAGGCCTCAACCTTAACGTCATGTGCACCATAGATTTTACACCGTAACAATCCAGACAAAAACAAGCAACTGACAATAATACATGTTACATATCCACAGCTCTAAACAGTTAGTTAAATCTCCACGAATGTCTATTCAAAGGCGCTATGACTTGAAGAGTTATCGTATCAATCTGACTCCATCACAGTCAAATTTATGATCGTCCACAGAGACCGGAACAATGTCAAATAAAGAAAAGTAATGACGTCCAAGAAGTCCCAACAGGCATCCCTCTTTTGTGAGAAACTAACCTGACGTAGGTTGATCAGGTGCTCGCACGCATCCTTCACGGTATTAGCAAAGCTTTCATTCTTGGAAAAACTTTCTTCCCAAATGGTGTCCAATCTAGCCTTCAAGTCGAGAAGCGATGAAACCATGTCTTTGTCTTTCTCTTCGTCCATTACAATGTCTTGTCCAGTTGCTTTTATATAGGAGCTCAGAGCCTGCCTCAACAATTCCAGGGCGCTAACTCGTGCGAACAAGGTGTACATACGTTGCAGATCGCCAACCCTGTTGGCATCCATAAGAACGCTAAATCCCTGAAATGCTCACACAAGTGCAGCTCAATATGAGATGGCAAAAACATCCAGAAAAAGTTGGAGCTAAGTGAACACATATTCATTACAGCTGGAAGTCAACAGTAGAAGTTCCAAGTAAATTTTAGACGGGAATAGCAAAAAGCATGATAACCCAAAAAACAATGCACCAAGGTCGCTGCAATCTTCTGAACTAACCTTGTCGAGTATCGAGACTGTATGACGATCAAGAAGCTGTTTTTCTGCAGTAGCCACAAGTGGCTTTCGTGTGCTGGCATCCAGGTACAAAAGACAACGTTCGTTTTCTTCGTGAAGTCGGGCCTACACAACCAGCATACTGGAGTTATCTAACACACCTAAGACACTGAGTACTAATAAGTGCTGTGTATTCAGTTGAAGGATTTGCAAGTCACAATTATCCACAACGAATGGGGTCCAGGGAGAATTAAATTAGTACCTCAACATGCTTAAGATAGTCTGGAACATCAGTCTGCTGCATAAATCTGTTTCCCTCGGCCGCGTAAAAGTCCGCGGTACATTCTAAGAAAGGCCTTTCAAAGCTTTCAGAGTAAATGCCAAGCGCACTGAACATTCGCAACAGATGTTTGACAAGAGTTCGATCAACTGTTTCACCCATCCTGCAAACACAGCGCATCCAAATTAGCCAGAATTTCAAACCGAACTCTCTGACCCATTATTCACCTAAATGACAAACGTTCAGGGTGGATTAGCCGTGCGGAGGACTGGACGGCTGCTACTCATAAACTATCAACACTTTTACTAATTTCACTCTTATACCAATTCACAGCCGATATGATGTCAACACTTTCCATCCAAATGTCATTCACAGTAAGTGATCAAGTCAATACTCAAAAATTTCATGGTAATCTACAAATAGTGTATACAGGAATGTGCAACGAAAGATATGTTTTAGCTATACCACATCCAAAATGTTGAATCTCTGAAACAGGAAGTGTATTCACTGCTCTTTTCTCTACGCTTCTCCAGTATTGACCACGTCTTCATCACAATGTAAAATATGACTGATTTTCCAAATCATGACGAAATGCTTCTCCATATGAGTCATCTAACTGTATATAAAAGTGGCCTTAGACAATAAGGTCATAATGTTACTCACAGTTGCAAGCTGTAAGTGTTCTCACTAAAGACATCCACACAGCCTAAAGAACGCTCAACAAGTGATTAAGTACTAAGACCAGTTAAGTATATTCAAAGGAATCTACTACATGTGCTCATTGATATTTTCCACTCCTGCCCTTCACTGCAAAGACCCCGCGCCATGGCAGGGCGGGGCTATTAACGAAACAGGAGGATGTACAATACATTACGAGAACTATTGAATAGTGAGAAAAAACACTCCACTCTTGGAGTTAAACTCGGAGAATAGATTGTTGAAAGCTTTGAAAGTGGGAACCAAGAAATCTTAAACGTTTCTCATTCAGTTCATATTCGTGGCACCAAGTTACCCAAAAGGGCTGTTAAGTGCCTCCAGCCAACGGTGGGAAGCTGGGAAAACCACTTGAGCGAGCTGAGCTTCCACCAGCTGAGTAAACTTAAGATAGACCATTGCTTCATCATATCGAGGGTGGTGGTGCAGTTTGAATTATGCTGAGTTCTATGAACTCATCTAATTGGAGGACATCACTAAAAAAGACAAGATTCTAGCAAGTCTAGCTGTCGATATGAAAGTGCTGAAAAGTGTCAGTCCCACGAATGAAAAGGATCCGGTGATCTTCGGCATATTGAAATTACAAGCGTCAATTTCCCATCACGTACACTCGGCTGCTCAATAAGAGGTCGCAAATAAGCAAAGACCAAAAAGGCTGGAACCATGGCAGTTGAAGCAGGAAAAACGGTAACATAGAAATAAGTGAACGCTAACATGCAGATTACAAGCATATCTATTATATCCTCTTACTTTAGCATGTAGATCCAACTACACGAGATGATAAGTAACCATATGCGTCCAACGATGAGTTCAAGGAATATTGTGAGAGAAACCTCAGCTATCTTATTAACCATGAGTCTCTGTGGAATACAGCCATCTAAAAGTCAATCGTAAAATCTGAATATGAGAACATTATCCTGATTATCCTCTTTTCGCCAATATTAACCATCATTCATCTGTTGTTTCCCACGGTGTGGAGTGGCTTTTTTAAAAGTAGAAAAATGGACGGCAGAAAGTTATAATATCCCTTCCCTTCTTCCTCTTCCTACCATCTCATCACGGATGTAGCCAACTTGTTACAACTGACGCTGAGCCGAGGCACAGGGTCTACGGGTTGTTGAGCTACAACGGGAAAAAACAAGACAAATAATACTCTTATGAATACACTTAGATCGTAAGTATATGTCAAGATCTACCCAGGAACTGCAAATGCAATGAAAGGTGAAATATTTCTCAGAAGATAATTATCCCATTTAACATACAAACATTTCACACTTCTCACTTTTAGATAGAGATTCACAAAATTGGTGACATTCCTATACATCGGCGAGAAGGTTCTTTTCAGTAGAACTTAGGTGAGAAAAAACTCATTACCTCTCCTTCTCAATCAGTTTGAGCAAGCCAGATACAGTTTTGTTCTCGACTTCAGGGCAGGATGATAAGTGCTTCCGAAATAGCTGTAGCCCCATATCCCAAAGAGATCTCACGTTTGAGTTTTGGATAACGTAAGTCCGATCCAGATACAACGCAATGCTTCGAATCATCAGCATCTGATCGCAATGATCTTGCCAGCACTTCTCCACGTGAGACAAGAAGACAACTGGGTCAGGGCTCTGTCCCACAAGGGACCGAAGTTTTGCCATTATATGAGTCTCGCATTCTTGTTGGAGCCTTCGGTACAAGTTGCCCGACATCTTGTGCAAACAAAGATCTTCCGCCGCCTGCGTACGAACGGAGCTCAATACAGTACCTCTAATGAAAACCTCAAAAGCTTGACTGAAGTTAGCACTCAGGGGTTTACTCCAACTTATGCAAGACATTATAAAACAAATGCTTAGCTACTACTGAGAAAAATTCCGGGAATGGATCATGAACTGGCTCATGTTAGGTACGAGCTACAAAAGAAGAGAACACAAAACTGCACAAAAACAAATCTGCAAAGTAAAACTTAGCATACGGCTTGTTCATGCTTTCCTCAGATTATTCTGCACTATCGATAATGTTGATTATCCTTGACTCGTCCCGTGCTCACCGCTACCATAAAAGCCTACTCAAAGGTTTCAGAAGAACTAACCCGATATAGTTCTTCCAAGCTGCACGATACAGGCTGCTTGAGGTGAATAGCCATGACGGCTTCCCTGATCTTGGCCCATGTGACGTCTTCAAAATTTGTAGGTAATTTAGGTTTATCTGCAATGTGATCACGAGACCGAAACTTAACAGAGCCCTTCGAATTTACTCAACAATCTATATTGGCATTTCAGTAAGAAATATAGGAGGTCCAACGTGATTTAGGAAAAAAATCTTAACTATGCCCAGTTGATGCTGCTTACCCTTGAAAGGCTTGATAACTAGTTTTCTCGCAGGTTGCGGAGGAGTAGCCTTCTTCCTAGACAAATTAGCTGTGGTTCCACTACCACTCATATTCATTGCCATGGTTGGTGCCGCGGCAGACAAACCATCTGCTTTGAGATCTATCATCATAAGGTCACTAGGACTGTCTTCTTCGCCAGTCAAATGTTGCACCCCATTTTTCTCAAAGGAATCCAGTGCAGATTGGGGCTTCGGCTTCTTGGAGGCGGAAAGCATAGTCGACCCCCCGGTTCCACCACTGCTCAGTCTCTTCTTCTGAGACATTAATCTTTTACACAGAACAGCTTCCGGTTCCTCCACCACCTGTTGCACTTTTCTCCTCCCCGCGCATCTCTGCTTTAATCCTCTCCTCCCTTTTGCCGGTCTACGTTTCCACTAACCTCGCTGTCGTAAGGCCATGTACCGCACGTTCATCTCCTCATTCACCTCTTCCTCCTCCCACTTAGACTCCAGCGTATTTCCCAACACCAATTCGTCCTAAATCAATGTCGTATAGCCCAGATAAAGCTCAAACTTGACGGTAACAGATCCTTGCACGCACTGAAATTGTTCGCAAGTAGACGGGACCGGTTCACGCTTTTCGCTCCAATCCACTCGAGAGGATAAACCAATTATCTTGACGCCTTTCTCCGTTACAACCTAATCCGACCACCTAAGTTACACCGGTCATCAATCCTGTGAGATAACTCCGCCGCGTTGGCCTTGTCACAAATGATGGAAACATATCGCCATTTTTTATTTTACGTTTCCACGATGCAGGCTCGTGCCACTGATTTAGAGCGCCAAAAACAACTCACTCAAAAACCAAAACCAGAAAAATAAACTTGCACAAGCACCCAATTTACCTCACGAGCGCAATTGCAACAGTAACAAGCGGGAAGGCAGCATCAAGACAATCCAAGGCCGAGGAAATCACCTAAATCACGAAACCAGGCCTCGCAAGCTCGTCGAAGAGGGCCAGTTGGAAGCGCAGGCTAACCAGCACTCTCGTTCAAAGGCCAGGCTAACAAGCACCCTAATCATCTTCTTCGCCTAAGCAAGCCGCTCGCTCGGCCGAGTGCCCGGACACCGCAGTCCGCCCCCCGTTCAAATGGTGCGTATCGGGCAGGTCCGATCGAAGACCAGCCTCCTCACGAGAAAAGCCGAGCAGAGTGACAAGAGAAGCAGACAGGCGCAGCACGACGCCGGGAAGAAGCAGAAGCAGGAAGTCCGAACAGGAGTTCCGGGAATGAACGTCGAGCTCTGGCAGCAGAGACGACCGATAGCAGCGAGCAGCAGCAGCAGCAGGTAGTCACTCGCAGGCAGGCGCAGGCAGAGGGCCCGAGACTTCGGCGCGTCAAGGGGACAAGCAAAGCCCGGAACTGGAAGCCCCAAGGCCGAAGCAGCAGAAGAAGGAGCAGGAGAAGAAGAAGAAGAAGAGGAGGGAGAGGAGAATGCAAGAGAGGAGGCGATAGACGCTCCTCTTCTGCCTGTCCTGTCCTCGCTTGTCGTGTTCTGGTTCTTTCCGTCGGGCAGCAGCCGAGCAGAGACGGGCGTCGGGAGTAGGGCAGGTGAGGGAGAGCTGGGCCAAGACGGCCTCTCTCTGACAAGGCGTGACCATGCTGACGTGTTCAGGACGGGCATTTCGACGTGACGGGACTCTGTCTGTCATGCCGGCACAATATTGGGTTTAAATTCGCGAACCCGAGTATGGGGAAAGTAGGTGTGACGCGTGGCTGCCAGACGGATTAGGGTTTATTGGAACTCAACCTCGCCATGTGCACACAAAATACCACCCGATATTCAGTTCAATCAATCCACTCCTTTTTCTCGTCGGGCCGGGCCGGACAGTGGTGGGTCCTGCTTTCAATTCCCACTGCCTTATCCCCGCTTCAGATTTTGAGCGCTCGGTTCAACTATCATCCCGATCGCCGGCCGAGCATGGAATCTTTCCCAGCGCTCGCTCGCATTTCATGTCGAACCGCTTCCCGTGAGCAACAATGATAATTCCGGTACGTTAGCACATTATTGCGATTTCAGACCTCCCGACTACTCCACGATGATCAGGCCATCGACCTTTTTTTTTAACTTCCTGGATTCTCTCCCATTTTTCTCTTACTAGAAAAGTGTACCAGTGAACCAAATTCTCTCATTCGGTTAGGGCTGCAATGCCACTTCAAATCAAAGGCATTACTTCTATGTCAGTTTGAGATTTGGGCGAAGTACGTACTTGCCACGTGGGAGGAGTTCAGCTTGGAGTTGAATATCGCCTTATCAGTCTTAGAGAGATGAATCACTATTATCAAGGCGAGATGTGACGTTCAGGAATTACAAGGACGCACGGAGTCCCAGCACTTATGGATGGGTGTGGATTCGTGGACACCTCAATGCTTGGATTCGCGCTATCAACTTGCAGTGATAGAGATTGATGTGCTCGAAGTCGAAGGAAAGACAGATCGACTAAACGATCAGTGCGACCTTTCAGAAGGTGAAAAACAGTGACAGAACAACTAAACAAAACTCTGTAAGTGGAAGCTTTCAACTATATGCACTTTAAGTTTGTCACGTTTTCGTAAGCAGTCTTAATCAACTATGGGATTATACCTATTCTTTGTCATAGGTACGTTCTTTCAGAAAAACTATGAATCCATACACTGTACCTGTTTTTTACTTGCCCTGATGCCACCACCGTCCATAAAATCAAGAAATCCGTTTGGTCACTTCTATATTCACGACGTAAAAAAAATTTAGGTTGTAAAGGTGTATAAACTTAATTCATGTATGAGGTCGCCGCAGACTTCAACAGAAAAAACAACGTGAAACTCATAAACGCCATAGTGGATGAACAGAAAGAGAAATAATCATGCACATAAAAGAAATGGCATATTGTGGAGTTTGAAGAACATATACAGTAATATTGTTGATATTGATATTAATACTCACTATATTCACACAAAAACTGCAAGCGAAATTCCCCCCAAGTTTCCAATGTATATATGCATGCATGCATATACATATAATTACACTAAAATGTGCAACAACGGTAATCTGTTTATACCGGTAACATTTCCGACTCTTGGGAAGACGAAGCCAAAACGTTCACAATTCTTCAACGACAAAAGGTCATGATGAATCATATGATACAAATTCAACCCCAAATTTCTTAAGTTTTTAGCAAATTTTATGAAATCGAAAGTTCATGATCGGTTAGTAAATAGGTACATCGTTTGGTATAAAGCGTAGCTGTATGTCTTTTGAACAGATCAAATGTTTTTTCATTAGAAATTATCGTAGGATTATGTATTGGATATATTCCTAAATGAGATGCAATCAACTTTTCATGAATACTGTTTATACAATTTGTCCAACTTGACACTGATTTGAATCTTCTACCCAATTATTAACTGGTTTGATATTGTGTGAAATATATCTTTTCGGAAAATTAAAATTTATTTTAGAATAACCAGTTTACATATAAGAAACAACGTGATGATAAAATAAACCTATCCGCATTATTTGTAAGTATCTAGTAATAATTTAAAGTTTTCGTACTTTATGTATTCGTTTTTGTGAAGTATATTATGCCAAAATAAAAAACTTCCTACGAAATCTCTCGTATCTCAAATGAGATGACAATACAATTGGAAACTCAGACTTTCAAACATGAGCATGTGTTGCATATTTTCCTTTAACCTATTCATTAAATAAATATGAGTTTGTTCATTATATTATTCTAGTGTGATTACGAGTACATGTACAGTTAAGTGATATTATGTATGAACATCGATTGAAAATTTTCTTCGGTGCACTTGTGAATACATATCAAGAAACAACATGTCTTTCGTATATTTACCCAGATGGTAGAAATAAATATTGCAGTAAATATGGATTAACAGTAATATATATATATATATATATATATATATAACAGTAAATCCATATTTACTGTTCTTTCAGTCATAATTTTCATCAGATCTTTTTATCAAGATTCAGAATTGAATCTGTCAAATGATAAAATTTTTATTTCATTTCTCTGTTAATTGTGAAAGTGTTATTATTTGTGTTATAATAGTTTTCTTATTTCCAAATCAAATCATACAACAATTTACTAAGATTATGTAATCATGTATTAGTTACATAATATACAAACATAAAAACATACGAATGATTTATGTGAAATTTTATTAGATTCATAAGTCTGAACAATTGTAAAAGTAAAAAAAAAAAAATAGTCTTAAATTATTACACATTAAATTCAAGTTTAGATATCACCGGGTGTATAACAATGCATACACGTATTTCAGATTTTTTGATTAGATAAGTTTCAAGTTTTATACATGGAATTTCTTTTAAAAATTAAATAATTGTTATTGATTACAGCATGAGCTGTTGATATGTCGTTTCTGAATTATTATACCATCCTCACAGGTTATTGATTTTGATATGCTTAATAAACATCAAAATCAAAATCTTTGTAATATTCAACTTTTTTAAAATCAAAATTGATGTTAGTATTAAAATATGGAAAATTTAAGGTGTTTATTTTGGGTTTTTTTTAATATTTTTCTTTGTGATAAAGATATAAAATAAAAAAATGTGAGCAACAGTAATTTTGTGTTACATAAAAAAACATTTAAATATCACTGTAGAGATAAAATCCGATGAAGATATCCGCTACCCCAATCTTTATTTTGTGGATGCTAATCACAAGAGTAACATGGTGAATCCGAGCTAGACAACGAAATAGCAATGTATACTGCAGTCAAATCCAAGGTAAGGCCAACGGACAGATGATTGATGAAGAGACGCTGACAATCTTGAGTGGGACCTCATTCAGAACACGAGAATGAGTGAGTCAGAGTCATTCTCATATTGTGGGACACGACTGCAAACGTCGCCAACAAGCACACGGAACAGTGCGTAAGCTACCTAATCTAAAGAAAAAATCTCAGACCAAGAAACACAACCAACAAGCTAAAATGCAATCGAGGAGGAGTAAAAGAAACGAGTGAAGTGTAGCCGATAAAGTCGAACTTGCAACCATCTAACCTCGTAGGTGTGAGCGAGAGCAAAATTAAGAGTTTTGGACTTGGGTCTAGAAAATTTATAATTAAAAAAGTGGATGCTCAAGAGCTACAGTCTACCTGCTGGATTGCACTGTGAAGATAGTTAAGCCTACAGATTAAGATTTGATATCACAAGATGATGCAGATGAGGAAAAAAGGGTATGAAGTAGATAATCTAAGAAGACAGAAATAATTTGCAGTCAAATTTAAATGTGTTCTTGAAGCAAAACAATTTAGATTATTTGAACTCGTAACGTATTATATATTTACGATTGCTCTGATATAGTTATCCTTATGCGTCTATTGAGCAATCGTCTAATCCTATCCCTTGGATTTTGATTGTAAATGATGAAAAAATCAATATTAAAAATTCCACAAAACAATGAAAATATGCCAAGTTGTATAAAATTGAAAAAAAAATGAATTTATAATATTTGATCTGAATTACATCACACTGAGACATCTTTTTTTATGCATCTGAGTCCTCAAACCATTTTAAATGTATTAACTACAAAGATTATAAAATGAAGGAAGAATTATTCAAACCAAAGTTATATTATGAAGAATACCATTTTTTATCTTCTCAATAAATCAGGTTATATGAACAAAGATTACTATGACATATGTTAAGATCAATTTAATGGCAAGATATCGCAAATGTGTTAGAGTAGAGTAAGAGAGTCTACAATCACATATTATTTTGTGTCTCAATCCACGTAAGATTTTTTTCTTTTAAAACCATTGTCATCGTCAAAATCTAAAAAAAAATCCCTAAACAGTACACTACATTATCATATTGTAGCTGCCTTACATGTTTTGACTTAGCTAATAGTTGAAAATAACATAAAATGATCTTCAGACAACAAAAACATTGATTCCTTTATTAATAATCCATCATTCTTTTTTTGTTTTAAATGCAAGGTATAGTTGAGATCACTCCATTCAATTTCATTAAATTTGAATCATCATAAGCAATATATATATTAAAAAATGAATACTTTCACAACAATTTTTATCAAACGATGAACACAATGCTTCAAAACATCCAGTTTATCTGAATGAATCTTACATATTTGAAACAAAAAGTATTACTCAAAATTATCATAGATTTGTATTGTGAAAAGTTAGTGCAAAATTTCAAGTATAGATGTTGTAGATGTTGCTTAATCCTTCATCAACCTAATCTGAAACTAATACATTCGAAACCAAATAATAATTAAAAAAATGAACTATAATATTAATTCAAACTACTATATTTGTTAATTTTTCTCAGTTTTATCAACTTACCGAACTTTCATTTGTGCTAGTCGGTGTTCAAGTATTAACCATAGTGATGGGTTTGAATATCAGTTCATTCTAGTGATAGCTTG